CAGCTGTGAGGTCCTTTCTCTCACCCCCACGTTCAGACTAAGACTGCTTTTGTTGTGGTTCTGTTTTTTTACTGTTTGAATCTACCTGCAAGGAGCTGATGAATACCAGCTAAATCTGATTCTTTACCCTTACTGAACTGCCGGAAAATAATTTAATTTTCTTTGATCCATATCTTAACATTTCCAAAAAAAATTGATCGCTTTATTTCTTCCTCCTGAGTGTTTTTGCTGTACTAATCCTATGACTCCTTATTCACACCACAGTGGCTTTCACAGAGAATTCCCAGCCAAAGCTCAAAAACCAGCTGCTTGTGTTGTATTTCTGCCCGTTCGAGTCCAGCCTCTGTGATCCTTCTCCCTGTCTCTCGGGATCCTCCGCTCCGAGGCCTTGACTGACAGCTGCAGTTAGCACCGCCAGCTGGTCATTCCAGAGGCCACTGCTAATTGCTCTTCCAGATTAACGAATTAATGAGATCTGCAAAGTGTCGAAACAGCTGGCCAGTTGTTGTAACATTGATAGGCTAATAAACCTGTCAGGTAGATGGGTGGACTTTATTTAGGTCTTTTTCTGCTCACTGAACTGGAAAAAGCATTCAGCTATAAATTCCTTGGGTTAGAAACGAGATGACATTCCCTGTGCTGTATTGAATTAAGATTGTGTTTTGCTGTCATCAGTACTACAGTTGTATAAGACTGCTTTATTATCTCTCGCCATACAGTTACAGAAAGCCCATTACACAGATTCTCACACAGTTATTCAGAGTCACTTGTTAGGATTTGGATTGTTAGTAATTTGTTTATTTTAACGCCTTAAGGATAGCTGACTTGAGGCGGAATCTGGCTGGAGTTTGTTTACCATAGAGCCAGATGTGAAAAACTTTTTCATTCACTCTTAAAAGGTTTCCTTGGTGTGAAAGAAAAATGCTTTCCCACACCTGAAATATTGATCATTCTAAGGCTTTATTTCAATCTCCATTTGAAAATTCTAAAAACTAGTTTTATGTATCTAATTAATCAATGTATATGTAAATAGGCGTTCGGAGCAGAATTAAACATGAGCCTGAACCTAGCTAGAGTTACCTACAGATTAATGATCTCCCATTCCGGATCAGCAGGCCTACGCAGTTCTCCGCCCTCCTGTTCCACTGCCTGCTCTCGAGTTCATGGCTGAGTTCATTAGCACAGCGCGAGATAAGTGTGAATAGGGGCTCTTATTTCAGACACACTCTGCCCACACACAGCAGTTACCATACAGCAGAAGAGAACATTTTGTTCTGCAGACTTCAGAACAATGGAACTATACTGTGAGTGTGTTTTCAATTTCTAAAAAAAAATATTGTCAAAGCTTTACACTCCTTGTAAATTAAAGGATCAGCATCCAGCTTGGTGTGCATTCTTCATCATGTATTCTTTTAGACTGAATATTGAGTAGGTCTGGGGAGGCTCATCAATGAAGTCCTTCAGAATTCAGTGCAAAACTATGCTGACTGAATAGTCTTAAGCCACCTTATCGTATAAAAATTATATTTTATTCAATTTTACTAGTAAAGCAACATGATCTGAAGCATCAAGGTGATAACTAATGGATGCAATTATACATTAAAAAAGCACAATTCCGTAAAGTTCTTAACTGGTCATTTTTACAAATATTTCTTCTTTATAGGCAAAAACCAGGGGAGTGAATTCATGGAGGACCCAGTGCCTTCTGGTTTTTAGGTGAGGGACCAGTTAAATTGTAAATCCTATGTATGTCTGAGAAAATAATTAGGTTATTCTTAAGGTTTTTACAGCTGATTACTGAGACTAACATTCACTTCATCAAAAGTATAATTATTAGCAAAACCTCTCAGCCTGGTTAGATGTATCACAATTATGGTGTTGCTTAATTAGACCGAGCCTGTGAGTAGTTAAGTGTCTTACTAGAACTCACACAGCACATGCAAGTTAAATTGGTTTCTTTTTAATCCACTGGTCCTTGACTTACTGTACCTTCACTACTCCAGCATTGAGTTTTAAACCCTTGGTAGTCATTTGTTTTTGCTGATAACTAAGATCCACAGGCGTGCTGTCCAGAGATGAACATTACTACAGGAACCTTATTTTATAAAGCATTTTGAAAACTGTGGGAATTCATCCTAGAGTCAGTTCTACAACAACGCCTTACAATACTTAAAATATTGTAACTTACAATAAGAAAACAAATTGCAAAGAGCAACTGAAAGCCAAAATGGATCTGAAGTGTTCAGACAAGGTTTAAGAAGGATCTGATTGCTTCCAGGGAAGAGAGGCCATTCTGATTGAAACCAATTAATTTAATTATGGTTAAAATTAGAAAGGAACATCCAGATGGAACAAGGAACGTGTTCTTTCGTCTAATCATTTTTTTCCCCCAAATTTGTAGGAAAACATAATGACTGAATTATGGACTCAAGTCTGACTTGTTTGTTCTCACTTAATTGCTGAGCAGAATTGCTTCACAGCAAGTAACAAAACCCTTATTGTCAGAGAAAAGAACAATGATTTTGCTGACTAGTTGAAATTAATCTTTCTAGAAAAAAGCCTACTTTCGTTTTAACAGGCTGTATTTTCGGTACAGCCTTTCCATTGACAGTTTTTTTCAGTTTTGATTTGTGTACCAAGAGAAGGTCTATATCCAACATAAAATAGTTTAGTTTCTTTATATCTTTGTAAATCTGAAAGTTTCTATAACACATTTTTCCCTGCTGTCATCAGCGGTAAGAGTTTAAATGTACCAAATGCATCTGCTTTTTTTAAAATGCATCAATTTAACAAGCTAACAGAAATATTTAAGTTGCTTAAGGGTATGGGTAGCATTCTGCAAGACATGACATGCTACAGTTTCGCCGTACACTTCTTTTAAGAGCCAAGACCAGGATTGAGCTGGGCTTGGAGGAAATCTTTCATGAACATGACTCAGCAGGTCAACGGCATTCTTTCACTTACCAGCTCACAAAGGTTTTCTCCTTTCTTGGCTGCCAGAGTATCAAATTAGATACTTACAGAAGAGACAAACCTGCTGGTTTATTCTGTATTTAGGACTCAGGATTCAAAGAATGTTACCAGTACGTACGTTGTCGGATCTTCATCTTCTTTCCTTAAACATATGTACAACAATACAGGTACAGCTTCCTTTTCTTGTAATTAAAAGTGTTGTATCCGTGCATAGTTTTGACATCTACAGTTACTATGCTACAGTACATCTACAGTTATTTAAAAGGGAAATTCAGTAAGGTTTTTGTTTTCTAGCTAGCATCTGCCAAAATGCAGAACTAAATATATTTCCTTTCAGGTAAAGACAATCTCTTATTCATTTTTCCATGCAAAGTGTCCATTATGTCGTTTTTAAGACCGCCAGCACTGTGTGGGACAGAGTGTATACTGTTTATCTGCTGGGGAGTGAAGGCAGATTCTTAAAGCCCTGCTTTATTTTTAGACCGTTCCCTCCTGCAGTTCTCCAGGGGGGCAGCGGCCACCCTGTTAACTGTGGCTTCACTGCAAATGTGTGGCTCAGCCTGTACATTATTGGGAAAATGTCATGCAAAGAGCCAGTGACGAACAGATTCCATGCATGCTCCAATAAAGTCATAAAAATTACCCAAATTAATTTGTGTTGTGCTATGAATATTTTGTCAAGTCATAGTAGTTGCTACAAAAGAACGTCTCTAAAAATAGTAGGAACAAGTGGTTAGGAGAATATTTCATTTTAACATGACTTTCTTTGGTTGTATTTCCAGCCAATACCGTACATAGCTACCTTCAGTTAGTTCATTTTGGGATTTGAATTTGAAGGGAGAATCTTCTTTTATGCCTTCTTATTCTTTTATATTCATTTATGTTCTTAGAAACCTAATAACGTTTGGTATGTGTGTACTGTGAAGCTGTTAATATATAGTATCCTGAGGTACATTTTTGCAGAATTCCATGTTAAATATGTTAATGATTTTATTAAAACACAAGAGTAACTAATTGTGTTTCTGAAAGCAGATGTCAAGACCACCAGTTCCGTTTTCCTCATTATCCAGTTTCTTTTTGGTAAGCAGCATGTAATGACTACAAAACTGTGTAGTCAAAAATGACTCTTCAGAAACCCCAAATCACAGTGGGTGCAAGAGGTCAGGTTCATAAATGCACTACAGTGTGCATTCTGAAGCAATGCTGAGCAAACTGAAACAAAAACCACTATTTGATCATGCTGATTGGCATTTAGGAAATCTGTTACAGGCGTTGAAACCGAAGTTGAATGTACTGTATGGAGGCAGATGCAAAGGCACGTTGTGAGCACTGATCCCACACGGCACATTGTGTCTGCAGAGTCCATGAAGTACATGCATCTCAGCAGTTCTACAGTACATTGAGACAAAGTCAGTCAGTGACAGAGCCGGGACCTGACTCGGCAACCTCCATTCACCACCCAGCCATCTAGTTTTTTTTTTGTTTTTGAAGAAATTGCCACAGTAGGTGTGACAGTCCCGGTTCTGACTTGAGTACCTGGGAAACCTCAAACAAAACAGGGTAAGGGCATGTCTCGACAGCAGTGCTCTAGTTTCACTGCAGCATGCCAAATCTGAGAGTGCAAGACTACTCTTGAGGAATCTGCCTTGCACTCTCACTTAGAGGCTGTTGGTCTTGTGGCAAAGCTGAAAACATGAAGTTTATCTAACTTAAAGGGTAGGGGGGTAAGGGAATTGAAGCCTCGCACCTTGTGTGATGATATGAGGAGTGGTTCTATGTGGGTCTCCAGAGCACTGGCCTCAGTGAAGACCGGGCACAAGTTCACCTTAAGCTTGAATATGGCTTCTAATAGATGTAAATGTCAGCTGCTTCTTTCAAAACCCAGTGAGTTTTAGTTTTTTACCCAAACAGCTAACAGCTGGAGAATCATGATGGTCCTGAAGAAGAACCTGCGCAGGGCCTCCAGTGTTGCAGACGCATGCAGCCGCTGCCTTGCCTTGCTCAAGACTCTCTCCTCTCCCCCGCAGACGGTGAGGCCCAGCGGCGACGATGACGGAGTACAAGCTGGTGGTGGTGGGAGCTGGAGGCGTGGGGAAGAGCGCTCTGACCATCCAGCTCATCCAGAACCACTTTGTGGATGAGTATGACCCAACGATAGAGGTACTGTGTCCACCGGCCTTGTTGGTCACAAAACTAATTTTCTGCTTCCTGCTTGCGAAAGATATTTGTCCTTTCCTGGAGTATAACCTCTTTACCTACAGGAATGCCCGGCTAGATCTCTGAAATCAGAGATGCACAAGTTCAGTAATGCAGAGCCTCCATCCAGCAGGTATCGAGGTCTGGGCCATTTACCAGTACTTCCAAATTCTGTAAAAATCACCACCGGTATCATCATTTGTTTTCAACTGCCCTAAAAACATTTTATAAGGAAGATTTAATTTCATCTTTAATCTTTTCTCAGTTCAAGTTGGTGCAGGTTCACCTGATTAATTTTATTTTCTAATGGAGATGCACAGTTTTTTGTTGTGGTTATCATGTATTGCAATAGGGATTGCCAGAAATTCACAAGTTGGTTTTCTTCCCGAGAGATGCAGTTTGTGATAAATCAATTAACCGCACTGGTCAGTTTCTAAGCTTTGACAAAACTGGATGTGTTGACCTTTTCTTTCAACATTGTTTTAGAATCCTGTATTTTGGTTTGCTTTAAAGTTTTAAGTTGGAGAGGGGGTTCTTATGAGAGTGAATGCTTGGAAATGATTTCCAAGGCAAACATTAAAACTACATATTTTGCTTTTTTTAACAGTTCGTTAGCAACTCATTCGGAAAGGAAATTGTTTTACATCTGTTCTGAAAATGTTTCCTGTGTTTTGTAGCATTTCAAACAAGATACAGAAGAAATGTGGTTACAGCTTAATGATGAAAAATGCTGTAACCACATTTATTTCTGTCTAGGTAAGAAATAAATTAAATGCTGGATAATACTCCAAAAGAAGCAACATGACATGGGTATCAACTATAGACCTATCACTGGATAATACAGTTATTGATGAGTTTCCTTTTATTTTTCCTGCCCTCATTCTGTTATTTCCACAGCTTTAAAGGCCTAAATCATCTCTGTCTGTGTGTACATTCTGTATTTTAAAGATCAAGAGAGAAGCTCTGTGAATGAGTCGTCCCTTTCAAGTTATTGGCTGGTGTTCTTCTGGCAGCCTCTGCTTGCCAGAAAAGTGTTTTCTAGGTGAAGTAGCAGTGATCAGGGGAGACGTGCATCACTCAATACAATAATGAGGAGGGCTTTCGAAAAACTGCTGTTTAATGGGCATAGATAGAGGCAGGAGCAGTACTGCATGTACTAATCTTTTTTTTACAGTGGGTGTGTACAGTCTTAGAGCCCGATGGATGTGTAGGCACTATTATTAGTAGTGATAACAGACTACAATTGCATAGTACCTTAAGATGTGCATAGAAATCAGCATTGCTGATCTGAGTGCTTTTAGTTCACAGCCCTGTCGCAACAGCCTGTGGGTTTCACATAACGCATATCAAAAATCTGTAGTTAACATGTTTTGCTATGTAAAGAAATGATTTCACAAATTTTTGATTAAACTATTTCTACATTAAAAGTGACTATATTCTTTGGCCTGTATATGAAATCTTAATGGATTGGTGTATTGTGTTGGCACAGTTCAGGGCTCCACGCTTTCATATTCGCACTGTCAGCTGTGGTTAGGATCTATAGCAAACTGTGCTTCACAACATTAATAAAAGGACTACCTTAAGTATTAGAACTAGTGGAGGCCCAGTTTAGCACAGACATAAGAAGGACAACTTGTGAGCTGTTTTTCTTGCAGTCATAGAATGTACACTAGGCATGACTTTCTTTTCTAAAAAGTAGGGGGGGGGAGGAGGGAACCACTGTACCTTTGGTGTGTAGTTTTGTTTGCTTTGCATGTAATTTAGCTGTGGAGTGTTGCCTGAATCTCATGGCTTTATTCCTCCTTTCCTTGCTAGGACTCCTACAGAAAGCAGGTTGTGATCGATGGGGAAACATGTCTGCTAGACATCCTGGACACAGCAGGTCAAGAGGAGTACAGCGCCATGAGAGACCAGTACATGAGGACTGGAGAGGGCTTTCTCTGTGTGTTTGCTATCAATAACACCAAATCCTTCGAAGACATCCATCAGTACAGGTCTGTGTTTAGTGAGAAAGAGGATAGAGGAAACTTTGTCACAGCCACACTGAATTTAAGTGTAGCGCACATGGTGGTACCTCAAATTATTGATAATTATTACAAATTTGGCGTGTTTCCAAATGCCTGATCTTCACACTTCAGAGAAGTAGTCTGATTGTTGTATCAAAGACTGGTCACTTGGTGTGGGAGCTGAAGTACTCTTGAGGATCCTGGGGTGTGACATCATTACTATAAACCTGCTTATCACACTCGTCCCCCTCTCTGAGCTCCACAGCAACCCCAGTCACTGGAGAGCTATGTCAAGGCACCAATGGTGAATATAGCTGGCACTTATGTTCAAACTGCAGTCTCAGACACATCTGAGACAAGTGCCTGACTTTGTGGTCTAAATTTATTTTCAGGCTGCCTTTGCCATTGGTGCAAAACCCAGAAAATAGGCCCCACAAGACCTGTTTCACAGGCTGTCTCAATGTGTGATCATCCATATTCGAGAGGCATGTAAACTTAGAGCCACTAATAATAATCTCAAACAGAGTCTGAAACAAGCTAAGTGGCTTTAAAGAACTGTAGCAGTTAAGAGTTCAGTGAGAATCACAACCAGTAACAGACTCCTTACAGTCAGAGGAGGCTCAGAAAGGAAACTTCACAGGTAGTAATGCAAGTTTGTGGTTGATGTAATTTTGAAATTTAGTTCAGAGAAGAAGCTTCTCTAGTAGTTAATATATATTATTTATGTTAACCTGGTTTCAGTAGACTCAAAGAATTTAGAGTGGAAATGAGGTTGGTTTACGTAACTGTAGGAGAAGACTTAGCAATTGCAAGAATACTATCACAGGCTGAATTCTGATATTGGAATAAACTTGATATCCTGAATCGCTGACATCACAGTGATCTCAATAAAAGGTGTTACTTGAGTTATGGCCAAAAAAATATTGAAAATAGAAATTATTTTATTTCTCACATTCCCCTAAATCTGACCTCACTGAGATTTTAGGGATAAGAAACCTTGATCTCATAACTGCCTACCTCACATCATGAAATCTGACTCATAATTATGTAAAAGTAATTGTGGACATTAGTGAGTGTATAGTCTGTTTTCATTATTTAATTTATATCTGACAGCTAATTGCACTTTAAATGGTGAGCACAGAACTGTTTGGTTGCGGTGCATTAACTATGTATAGTTTGTGCAATAGAAACATTCACAGATAAGACTGTGTGAGTCTCTGGATAAGTCGTCAGAGCTTCCTGGCAGCAAGGTAGACCATCTTAATGCAAACATTGGCTTTTGTGTGTGCCTACATAGCCCTACACACACCTCTGTGTGGTCCTCGCTCCCAGTGTAAAACAGTTTACAGAGGTTTGGGGATTATCAGTGCAAATTGCTAACATGCCAAAAATTCAAGAAAAACAGTAGACCACTTCAGACCTGTTATCCTTTTTAGAAGGTGTCTGTTGTTTTTCCATATATACATCTTACTGACATAATCCAGTTTGTGTGCGATCGAGAAAAGCTCTGTTGAGTGTGTGAACTGTGTTCCTAATTGTAAATGTTTAATTCCTGGCTCTTTTGGACAGCTGTAGTCTGAAATAAGCAAGAAATGGCAGAAAAGGCAAGTTCCAGGCATTGCAAAAGGAAAATGACAGTTCCTTCAGGCCCAGAGGTAGAAGTGATGTAATGTTGTAGCGTTTATCATGGCTAAAGAAGGCTTATCTTCTAATTGATGGGATTACAAAGCAGTGCCAATGAAATCGATCCTGATTCAGTTAGGGATGAGAAGGCGTCTGCTTGTGTGGGGATTTTTCAAGGACAGGCTAATGAGAAGTGAAGATGTACTGGAGCCCTGACATTTAGCATTTCTGCAGCATTTTGCGACCTTAAAGAGGTGATCTACATGGAATTGCTCTTGGGAGGCAAGCCGTTTCCCGTAGCTCTTTTTCCCATAGGACAGCTACGGTGACATCAGAAGGCACAGCTGAATTAGTCCCTTGATGAGAAATGCTTGTCGACTTGCAGCCTAGCACAAGATCAGGTTCCCAGAGCAGCTTGAGAACTCATCTCTGGAACAGCCCTAATGTGAAAACAACAGCGGTGCACTGTCCATTGACCTTGAGAGCCTGTGGTTGTACGTGAACTGCCTTTCAGTGAAAGTAGCCTTTCAGTATCAGATATTTCGCAATAGCTACCAGCAAACGTAGTAGTTAATGGTGTGGGACAACACAAGCTCTTTGTCATCGCAACTGTATGATCTTTGTACATTGCCTGCTGTCCTTAAGGGGCTCCTGGCTTTATAGGTCATAATGTCAGCCAGGGGTGATTCAGTATGTACTGGAATCCAAGATGAAGTGGGTAGCACAAATGAAGGGCACTTGTTTCTGGGCAGTCCTCTGCACGTTGGAGGACCAGAGGCCGGCCGGTCGCCTGGCGTCTGAGGAGGTGGGATAAATCCCTGCACCGCGCTGACGGCTGCCCCATGTGTCCGCAGGGAGCAGATAAAGCGGGTGAAGGATTCTGACGATGTCCCCATGGTGCTGGTGGGCAACAAGTGTGACCTCCCGGCACGGACTGTGGACACGCGGCAGGCCCAGGAGCTGGCCCGGAGTTACGGCATCCCCTACATCGAGACGTCGGCCAAGACCAGACAGGTAAGGCCGCTAGGAGAGAGCGGGAGCTGCAGCTCACTCCCCAGTCCTCCAGACAGGTCAGGCCAGCAAGTCTGCAGTACGCCCAGTCTCCTTTATTCGCGAGGACGCATTCTTGACCGGTCTGCAGATAACAGCAATCAAACGTACTGGGAAGGACCTTTCCTATTCTGCATACATACCATTGCTATACATGTACTGTACACATCAACAGACTTGGCACTCCTGAAACAAATTTGCTGTTCTTTTTCTCACTTTTTTTCTCACCTTTGTTGACAGTCTGGTTCAGGGTTTACTTTTTCAGTTCCCAGTTCCAATTCAGTGTTCCCATTTCCCAGAATTCAGTTCCAGTCCCAATGGGCGTGGCTTTGGGAATCAGTTTGAAAGATGACATTAAAATTGGAAAAAAATGGAAATGTAGAAATGACCACCAAGGAAGGAGAAGGAACAAAATCCTAAAAGGATTACTACCAATCCAGGATTGGGGATTAGAAGGCATGAGCACGTCTTCAAGTTCTTTTGCCTGCTTTGGTTTTATTTGGTTTGCCTGCTTTTTTGTGCTTGATATGGAGGGGGGTTAGCGGTACAGTTACAGTATTTTCTCGGTTTCGTTCAGGTAGAGATGGAGAGCTCTTCGGCTTGCATTTGTGTGGGCTGTGTGAGCTGTCTCACACTCCAGCTGTGGTCTAAGCTTCGCTATGAGTCACAGAGGATTGCATTGCTTTTATGCAGGGCAGCTGAGCTAGTGAACACAGCTCTTTCGTCAGCTGATGCTATCGTGCTTGCTGTGTCTGCCTCGTGGTTCTGCCAGTTCTGTGTGAGATAGTACAGAGCATCCGCATCCGACATGCTTTTGGCTCCCTTGTTGCAGTGGGTTCTGTTTGCATACTGAAGTGCTTCCCATGCCATCCTCTAGTCCAGTTCTCTCCCATTCAGACGGACAGTGTACGCCTTCACACTTTTACTGGGAACCGGTTCGGTGCTGTCCCATTTTGCAGGCCAGCTCTTTCACACTCCAGTTTCTTTCTCTTCACTCCCTCTGCTGGCAAACAGTGAGCTTTCTGAACCCTTGATGGCCCTGGGGCCATCTTGCCCCATGCTGGGCTTCTCCATCTGCTGCTTACATGCCTACAGGATGCCTGTGGGGGACTAGCAAGATGCTTCTGTCCTGACTGAAGGAGCAAGCTGAGCTGCAACTATCAAACAGGGGTGTCTGGTGAAGCCTCCTTCACTTTATCAACCTGTAGACTAGAACAGCTTACAGCTCATCTCCCATCGCCTTGACCTGGGCAGCAGTCGGTTAAAGCTCCTCTGTGCTGTGATCAAGATGAGGCAAGGTTCCTCCTGGGAGCTGCAGTTCCCAGTTGCAGGGGTTAGTCTGCTCATTATCCACGCTGGCCTTGTTGTTTGGTGCTGTAAACAAGTATATCTAATACTTCAATGCAGTAAAGCAATATGGTATCAAATATCATTTACCTCTATGCTAGAACTTAAAGTACAAATGTTTCTTTCTTGTGATCCTGTTTGTCTTCCAAAAAACAAAAATTAGTTACGAGATGGCAGCAGTGTGATAACATTGCATGTTTAAGGGGATAAGAGCACACTTTTTAAAATGCATAACCCTTTTTAGAGGGGATTCTGATTTGCAAGCATTTAGTCATAATCCCACAGATGGTAGCTTCATACCAAGCCAACAGGCACACCGCAGATGTATGGACTCTCGAAGCCACGCGTCATCAGCAGGTTGAGCTGACCTGTCTCATGACAGTCCAGACCCATCTCGTATTCCCCTTCAGTGGGTGAACAAGAGTCTGCTCGTTCCTGAATACTCATGTAAACGCCCCTTAAACCTGAAGTGTTCAGTTTATTTTTTCTTCTGTCTCCCAGTTATGCTTTCCTTCCCCAGAGCTTTGACAATCCTACTTTAATAGGGATGTTACGGGCTCCCGATGGTCTCAATGCTGCAGGGAAGCACATCATGCTAACACAATGCTATAATACCGCATTCCCAGTGCTGCACAATGGTGCCCAATTGCAGGTCGGCCACTGCAGTCTTCCTCTTCTCTCTAGGTCTGGCAGTGATGCGTTTAGAAGACTTATGAAAGTGATTGCCCTCTACTGAACACTGTTATTTATTGAGAAATGCTGTACTTAGTCTGTTGCATTTCACCTCCAGGTACTATATATGATGTATAGACATCATTGATACCATGTTTCATACAAGTGATGTGCTGCGGTGACTCACTTAAATGTTTGCAGTTTGCTATGAGCTCAGTGATACAAGCTAACAAGCCAAGTTGTTTTCCAGATACCCAGCAGTCTTGTCTTTGTAGGCTCATAGGTGACCATCTCGACTTTGAGTGTCTGTATTGGTATGTGTGTTTTCTGCAAGAAAATAACTCCAAACCCTTCTGAATCTGAATCTTCAACACGGCACACTGAGTAGTGTGGAAATTAGTATATCATTTGTTAGAAGTAGGAGTTTGAAATGGATCCAGAATTGAACAGGTAGCCAGTGAAAGTTATTGGTATAGTGATAGAATTTTAACAAGAACCATGAAATCTGAACTTATAGTCATCAGCATTCTGTATGAGCTGTAGTCATGAAAAAACATGACCAGAGGCACTAGAAAAAGTGCATTACAGTAATCTGGCTGCTTTGATGTTAACAAAAGCAAGTGTTAATCTGTCATATGGGAAAAGAATGTCTGATTTTGGCAGAAAAGATAACCTTAGATGTTTTTCAAACATGTTGCTAAAAAGGACAAATTTATTTTGATCTAAGATAACGCTGTAGTTTCTCATATCAGCCTTCCAGTTAGCCAGTAAACCACCCCAAAAAATATTTTTTTTAAACTGACTTTGAGGTTCCAATAACATCTCTATTAGAATTTAGTCCTGAATAAACATTGATGTCCATGTATCAGCCAAGCGGCTTGTAATGTTGTATACAATACAGAGTTGTTTTAAGTGATACATATAGGTGAATGCTTGAGTGTAACAGTGAATGTTTATCTCATCTTCCAGGATATTTCCCAGCAAGGGTAGCATTTAGAAAAGCCAAGTCAGGCGAATTCTTGTTAAACACCTCAAATGCCTCCTCATTAACAGTTAATCAATTAAAATGTCAAATATATGTACACCAATAAATTTACAGGGAAATACTGCCATACAAAATATTAAAAACTCTGAACCATTTTCTATACAAAATCAGTGTTACAATGTGGAACCAGATTGGACCAGATGGAAATTATCAGTTCTTATATACAAATGTGTTATAAGTGTATTAATCAAAGATTCTCTTTGTAGTAAAACTTAAGAGTCTACAGGTATTAAGTTTCAGTTCTCTTTATGTTCATGAATCAGTCATCAGGTCTCTGTTATGTTGTACCTATGTTATGTAACCCACAAGAACATTTTAATAAATCAACACATTTGGTTGTACATAACATAATCCAACCCTTAACATTGTCTTTCTGTAATGTGGATGAATGAAACAAATTACCTTTAATTGTAGCTTTGCAATTTTCAGTGATAAGAAAAATTACCAAATGGAACCAGAGATGAAAAAATGTTTCCAGGGTACATAGGAATCAGTTTTGTAGGTTTTAGGAGATGTATGAAAGTTTTTAGTTTATACCCACTTTGGGGACACTTCATAATATATGACAATGAGATTCAGCATACCAGTTGAATCTGATATCAGTTTTATTGAGCTTTTAGTTTCACACGAGCAATTGCTGTAGTTGCACATGTCCTTGCCAAGAATCCAGTTACAGTTCTTTAGTTTGAGCCTCAAATTCAATGGCATATCATTTGGGTTGACTTCAAGCGCTCGGTGTGCTTTCAACAGGCCCACTCCCGTTTGTTCCGCTTGTAATCGAATTTGAAACCCTGTACATCAGGTTAAAGTGTTTGACTCCTCTTTTAAAGAAAATAAGGATTATATCTTGTTGTCTATGACTTCGTGAATGTATATGAGTAGCTCAGTTCTCATACTCATGAGAACATGTATCAGTTGAATTTGCATTTACTTTATAAACACGCTGCAGGGGCAGTCCTCTGTGTTCCTAACGGAGGGGCGCAGGTGTTTGTGAGTCCTCTCAATCTGTGACAGTGGGGGAAATCTGTGTTGCGCTGCTCTCACTGGCCGGCCTTGTCTTCCGCAGGGCGTGGAAGACGCATTTTACACTTTGGTCCGGGAGATTCGCCAGCACAAACTGCGGAAGCTGAACCCCCCTGATGAGAGTGGGCAGGACTGCATGAACTGCAAGTGTGTGGTGTCATGACCACGGTGAGCGTCTATGGGCTGGCTTCACTCTGGGTGGGGGGGTGTTATTCATCTCCAGTTTGTTAGCACTGCCATTATGGGATGAAACTATGTGCGAAAACAGCAGGTAAATGTGATCTGTGTGAGAGCACTTGTATATACTGTATTTTCTGCCCTTCGCACCACATTCCTATTAATACTCAGCGCTGTTTGAATCAGTAAAAGCCAAGCTCCAGACTGGGATTAGAAATACAAATGGATCTGAGTTCTAGAAAGGAACAAGTAAAGGTTTATTCAGAGGAGAAAAGAAACAGCAGTTTGGCTGTGGAGCCTTTACTTGTTCCTCTGCAGCCTACGCATGCTGACGCAGCTCCCTACATGAACTACAGAGTTCTGGAAAGACACTACATAGCAAAAAAATATAAGTAGTCATAACGTAATCCCTGGAATATTTATTATTTATTTCTCCAGGTAGTGACCGCAGTAAAGCAAACAAATACCGAAGGAGATTAATACTAACAAAGAACAGGAATGGTTACTTTTTAAAAATTTTATGAAGTGACACTCAGTTGCTTTGAAAGGTTTAGTCAAAGGCTTGCCCAGGCAAAACTAAACTGCAGGGTCAGTGACTTGAACGGTTTGTGGAGTATCGGTTTGCAGGTGCTTTTAGTATTTAATGGACTTCATGGTGAATGCCTGGGAGGTGTACCAACCCCAGATATTTGTGCTCCACTAATCGCCACGACTGCAGTAGAAATACAAGCCTCAATAGTGGATCAGTGCTCAGACAACTGCCCAGCTGCTCTGCCAATACTCTCTTTCTTGGTTTGTTGGGGTGGGAGGGAGGTTCTGACTTCTTGCCCATATGGCCAAATGCTTGTCCCTCAAACCAAGTGGATTGAATCCCAAAACATGAGTTGAGACTCAGCCTCTCATCACATTATTGAGTTTTGTCTATCTTCTGAATTTCACAATATTCAGCTTGCAAACCATTTTACAGTTTTCTTCCATGAGTCATTTGATTCAGATTCTTGATAATAGCCAAAACCAGAAAGTTATCTTGAGCACAAGTCTTATCGAATGATTTTGGCAGCTGTTCACTGCTGGTGTCCTGATTTCCTGGAAACTTGTCTCTACAAGTCATGCTGTTTCCTTTTCTGAACCCAATGCAAGATATGTATCCCTGGCCTGCAGAGAGCTTCAGAGTAAAACCTGGTGCAGTTCAGTTCTTGGCCCCTGGTGGTGGCCAACTGAAAGACAGGGGAAACACTGCCTCTGAGAGTCCCCAAAGAGAATGTGAGCACATCTAGGGAACTGTGTGGCTTGTCCAGAAGAAAACTTTAGAAATGCAACCTGTCAAAAGGGCCTCTTTGTTAGGAACCATCAAGAATGGAATTCTGAGTCATTTCATTTCATGTAGACCCAATTTCTCCAGTGTACATTTAAGAATTGGGATTCGTACGCACGTCTTTTCGTCACCTTACAGTTTATTTCCTCCTGCGTTGTTTTGACTTGATATACAGCTCTGATTTGGATAGCAAGTGAAAGTCCTTCTCTATCAGGTTTTATACCTCTTTCTAAAAGAACATTAGGGTTACTGTGATGTTATTAAAGCCAGTAATGAGATGATGTATATAAATACATCCCCTCTGTGCATTCATCCTTGCGAGGACAGATGTAACAAACCCACAGTTGACCATTTCAAATCAAGTGTATATAATGAAAATAGCCACAAAACAACACGACTTTAAACTGTATAAAGTCTCTCTCGTACTTGTATCGTTGCACATTAGATCAAAACAAACCCAGATGTGAATGTCTGCACTTACTGGGACCTGGTGCAAGAAACTTCTCTTTCCTCTCTCATTCCCAGCTCTGGCACAGACTCCGCAGCAGACTCAGAGGCTCACAGAGCCCTGCTGGATCTGAGCAGAACCTCCCTCTTCCCCTTCTGACTATAACAGCTGCTCTCCTCTCTCTTGCAAAGTTTACAGGGTGGCAAAGGAGCAGTCTTTCAGAACAGCGCGGCAGAATGGACTTGAACGGAAGAGCTGTGAGCGGAGAAGAGGAGGAAAAGCATCGGGACTAACTGTTGGAAGGGGGGTCTCTCCTGATTTGGGAGCCCTGGATTCAGTTCATGTCTGCTTGACGCACAACACAGGACACAGCTACTTGTTCCCATGTGTGTTGCACTGTGGGGAAATGGGAATCACGCTTAAATTATTGTTTTACAGTCACAACACTGGTCTTACCCCGACTGTCACCTCCTTCCAAAAGACTGGAAACTGGTGGCTTCAGAACCTTATTTCCAAGTCCTTAACATTGGAATCCCTCTTCAGACTGCAGCAGTAAGTTTTTGTGACTGTCCCTGAAAGAGTTTTTAGGTGATTTATTTATTTTTAAAGAGGGACTTTTTTAATAGAAGTTTACCATGCAATTCTTTTGTTTTTGAATTTGCAGATTTGTTAAAAGGGTATTTATTCTTAAAATCTGCCTCATAATAGTTTTATTACTTCTTACATTTGTTTTGGGTGGTAGCCAGTTCTCAGTTTGACTGCTGCTAGGAAGGCGCGTTTCCTTCTGGTTGGCACAATGAGGGAAGACGTTTTCTTCTTTATTGCCATCACTCTTCTTATGACCACAGACCTCAAAAAAACAAAATTCATGAACAGTCAGAAGCTTTTCTGTTTAAGCGGTAGCGGTCTAGTAGGCTCTACTGCTTTGATAGGTATAGACACATTTTAGTCTGGGTAGGGATGGGGGTGTTATTATTGCTAAAGAATGCTGGAGTTTCATTTGCTGGAATTGGACACCCAGACCCTACTTAAATGCAAACTTCTATAATTGTACTGAGCAATAGTCCTAGCAGACTTTATTTCAGGTGTTGGGGGAAAAAAAGCTCTGAGTCATATCCTTAAAACCTGAGAGAGCTGCAGATGTGTCATGGTGCATGGGACAGTGAGTTGGTCTTTCTTAGGGTTAGGGCATCTCATCAAGGGGATCTTGAAATCTACCTGCTGTGTTGGTTTCCTTTTAAAAGTGGAATCTCCATTTTGTTGTTATCCAATTGCCAGCCAGTCTAGAGCTGCCACGTGCAGCTGGCTCCAGCTCCGGCAGTTTGTGTGGAGAGGAGGCATCTGCAGGCAAGCTGCTCCAACCTGTCCCAGCCTTCCCACCTTTCGACCTAAAACAAGCGCCACAGTCCAGTACAGGAGAGCTTGCGCTGATTGCAGGAGCAAAATCTCTTTTATAGATGTATAAAACAAATCACATATTTCTGTTTCAGCGAAAACAAAGACAACCCTAGCCAGCTCGTGCCATCTTCCCAAGCTGGTGCTCTGCCCATAGTGTGCCACTGCATGGGGAGTCTCAGAGTGGTATGGCCTATGCCTGAACCAGTGATGCTATTTGCCTGGTCTCTGTGTGACCACCTTTACTGGCTGACTTTGGTTGATGGCAAAGCTATACCTAGAAAGACTCCCACACGACAGCCATTCCGCACCAGTTCACCACACAGCAGATCAGGTGCAGTGAAGGATTTTCAAGTAGATCAGATTGAGCCTCATTTGGCCAAGACAACAACAATCTTTATCCCGTGGGATCTTTAATGGCCACATTTTGAAGCCATTGGTTTTGTGTCTCATCAAAACCATGCATAGTATCGCCTGTCAACATACTGGGACTTTGGTTTGGAAAATCGGGACTAGAAAGAAGAATTACACCTACTGGTCCACCAACATCACTTTCAGTAAGGACTTGATTTCCTTAGAGATCTCCTATATCAGAGGTGGCAAGGTGGTTTGTATTGCTGTCTGGCAGTGCCGGGGCCCCGAGTTCAATTCCGATCACAACCCGGGTTGCCGTCTGCATGGAGGTTGTATGATCTCGCCTCGTTCACCTGGATTCCTTTCTGTTGCTCCGGTTTCCTCCCACAGTCCAAAGACATGCTGGTGGGTTGATTGGCTTCTGGGAATTTGACATTAATGCAAGTGTGCATGTCTATCTAGGGTGTATCCTGCCTTCCGCCTATTGCTTGCTGGGATAGGCTGGGGTTCCCCCACGACCCTGAATTGGGTAAAGTGGTTAGAAAATGGCTGGATGGATGAATTCCTTTATCAGGCCCAGGCTCGCTCAGGCTCTGTGATGCTATCAGGCTGTGAAGTTGGTGATGCTGCTGTTTGCTGATTTTTACCTTAGTGGTTATATCACATCTTTCCCATTTCACTAAAGAGGTGATGATTAAATGTTCAAATTCAACTGTGATTGCTGAGAAAATGTTGACATATCTGTTTACCCTATAACAGAAGATGTAATGACCATTTAAAATAACATTTTGTCTGACATTTTGGATAGGCAAAAAAGTCTAATATTAGTCTAAAAACATCAGTTTCTCTATATTGGAAACAAATTCAGTGTTGAATTAATAGCTCTTTTTCTTTTTAGGTAGTTTTATTATTTAGCTAGCTTCAAGCTCAGCACGAATACATTGATTCTCAGCAACAAACCAAGAGACCCTCATCAGAACACTTTTTAAAGCTTCATGGAGTGCTGACGTTCTGTACATAACCTTGCTTTCTTCTTTTGTTGATGGGTCGTTTATTACAAAATCTTCCCTTTTGTTTTTGAAACATGTTGTTGATGAGGTAAAATTCAGTTAGTTTTGCAGAGTGAAAAACTCACAATCAGCAGGCACTCGTCCTGTTTTGTGTAAGATGTTAATAATTCTTAAAGGCAAATCCAAAAGGTTTGATGAATTTAATAAGATGTTAATAATCATCAGAATCAGAGGAACTTGGACAAAAATTCTTACAAAATGTCCTTTTGCTAAGGTTGTGCCAGGGAGTGAATACTGTTTGCTTAAACAGAATTCTGATTCTAAGACTTTAGCCAGTTTAACCCAATTTCACTCCTAAATACCATACATCGCTTCTTAACTGTTCATTTGGATTAAGCATGAAAGGCACCCTATTTTAAAACTAGTGGGTGCACAGGCAGTTGTCTGTGATTTAGAGGTCTTGCACACAAAGCTTCTGTAAGTGACAGGACCCTTTGGAGGTACAGAAGTTATGTTTCTGATTCACAAAGATCCAGTATCCACCATGAGAAAGCTACCCAGTAAGCTGAGTAAGAGTTCTGTCCACCTGAATCCTGTCCCAAAAGAACAAGCGGCTCAAAGATGGAACACAGATGACATGCACACAAGTGCACAGGGACAATGTAGAGACGCCAGTTACCTGGCAAGCATGTGTTTGAGGTGAAAACAAACTGGAGTGCCCACAGAAATTGAGCATGCACAGGGACAGTTTAAATGAGTCAAATGTTTAAATATTTTATTTGGAATTGCAGGAATATACCTAAAGTATCGCTTCTCTTTCCATATTCTGCTTGGGCCGGAAGGATTTTGATTTAAGTCACTCTCTTCCCTTTAGAATTTAATTGTATATCTCAACAGAATGGCCTCAGGAGATCTTTGTCCATTGTTTGCGTTTTGTTCCTCAAGTAACCCCTGTCCACTAAAGTGTTTTTCCTGATCCCATTTAAACATTCCAGATGTTTTAAATCAGGAATTTTGAAAGAACACTTCCCCCAAAATTGTCTTTGCAGGTAACCTATCAAAATGCGGCTGCATAGTCAAGTGTTGAGCTGTTATCACTTCATGACAGGCTGCAGAATTGCATCACAGTCACAAGACTTATCTAAAGCAGATGTGCTAAGAGAAATACATTTTTGATTATTCTGCACTGGTTTTAAATGTTTTATTGAAAGATTATAATGTAAAAAAGGAAAATGTCTTTGATTGTACAAAACTGAGTATGATTTAAAATAGATTGTTTATCCCTGCAAAACTTTCTGAACAATGTCCATAAAACAAACCTTCTTTTACAATAGTATTTGTAAGCTGTATATATGTTTATGTAAGGCCACTATAACATTTTGCTTTTCTTTGTTTGGTTTTGAAATATAAAAAGGATACAGCCCTTTCCAGGGTCTCCAAATTGCTGCTTGTGTTGAAGATCTAATTGGCTTTTCTGAGGCAAACTCAGGGGTATCCAATGAGAGTGCATTGTAAGGATCCATTGTGCTGTGCCTCAGTTCCTCAGAATGCCCTGAACTTCCAGGTTTGCTCGTCGCCCAGGATGTAAGGGTTCAGCGATCTCTTAAGAGCAGGAGTAATCGTTTCTGCTACCCTACACATAGCCTGCAGCATGCTCCTGCTTTGAAGGGCAAAACTATTTTGGTCGTCGCAGGTGTGGATTAACCTGGTGTGAGAGGTTGTCACGGGTCTCCATGGCAACAGTAGTGCGACTCGTGTTTGTGCTTCACCTCGAGTTAATGTGATCCACCCTTCTCAGGGCATGGGCATCTTTTTTGTGGGTGTCAACAGAAATGGGCCCTCCAGTACTGGAGTCGGGGCCCCTCTTTTTGTCAAAAGTAGTTTTGTCAAGACCTTTGCTGTTTTCTGTCCATCACATTTCATAATTATACGGTTAAAACCCGTGAGATGTATGTCCATCCTAGGCCTCGTTCTCAATCCAGCCTGAAAATTGTCTTCTGGTTTAAAGCCCAAATGTTAAACAGTAGGATTTTCTGGGCTTATTCCAGCATCTTTTCGGTGCAAATTCAAATGCTAAACCTCGCAAAATGACTGTTCATTGTCTCTTCTTTAGTGTATGTAGATATTTGCATCTTTTTTTTTATTTTATACATATGATTTCTGAGCCAGTGCAGTGCCGACTTTTTATTATAGTAAACTTACATTTCTGGAACCATTGTCACTATATAACAAATGATGTTTTACTATGAAAAACTGTGGTATTGTAAGATTTTATCTGTACTGTACATAGCACTACACAATTTAACCTTATACAGAAATGCTACAATTCCTGGAAAAACAGCCTTTAAAAAATGTCATTGTGTCACGTCTCATTAATGTGCATCTTCTGGTTGTCATGGAGAGGCTAGAATGTCAGCAGCAGGTGTTTACTGAGTCTTTTATTCAGTGGGTGTCAAGCTCTCCTCACTACCCTTGAATCGCACACACCCAAGTACTGTACATGTGCAGTCAGAAGAAAGTCAGAAAACACCACTGAAGGGAGAATCTACCCATGATTCCTGAGCTGCTTTCTTGACAGAATATGACATTGGAGTTTACAGAGGATGAACTACGCTAGTAGTTGTTCATTATCATTGTATTTGACATGAAAATGTAAAATGTCCACGATATCCAAATGTAAGCAAGGTGCTAATGCCAAACAATATAAAAATGGATGAGCATTGTCAATGTTGAACACATCTTGCAGTGCAGCCCTTTAAATCCTAAATTATGGTGAATATTACTGCTATACAATAAGCTGAGAGTCCAGCTTCATTATCAATACAGGATTAATGTGAAGACTGTTGACTTAAAAACAGTTCAGTGTTCCTGCAGCCAGAGTTTGTAGGCTGTCCTCGGCTTGCGTAATTTGGAAATGGGTGCATTTTAGACTTCCAGGTCAGGTTATGCAATTCTGACCAGGAATAAGTGACTTACTGTTAGTGGAAATACTTGAATAACTTGGAACTAAAATTTAATTGGTCAAAAGAGCTTCTATGACTTTGTCATTCAACAATAAGTCATGGTTCACTTAGAAAATTAACCCCAAAACAAAAAATAGCTATAGTTCAAACATCAACATACAGCCTCATTAAAGAAGGAGCAGGGTGAATGACCACAGCATACTGCCGCCCAGCCCAACACCATGCTGGAGCTCGTGGGGTGTGTTGGCATACTGTGGCAAGGGAAGTGTACACACATTGAATATGTAAATATATCCCTTTGTATATCTAACTGGCTGCAACCTTCACCAGCACTGGTGGGATGAAGATGGATGAAGGGGCAGTATTTCTGAAAGACTTGTGTGAGCAGCCAAGTTGTGAATAGAATTCCTTAATCCTATTAAGGAATGCTTTAAATTAAATTAACATATCTCCTTCATATTTCTTTCTATATTCAATGTATTCGTTTTATTAGAACTTATAAGAGTCTTTCAACTGCTTGCTTAAGCTTTTTTCTACATTTGCCCTTTCGAAACATGCAAGTTTTGCCCTTTACTGAGGATACAACCCCACCTACAGGTTGTACTTTGTAGCTGCATTTCTCGTAAACATGACTCCCATGATTCATTATTAGAACGTTTATTTATTATTTATTGGTACAATTGAGTTACTGGACCCTTATTGCAATATTAAAGAAACAGATCTTTAAAAACTTCAAAAAGTAGTTGCCTTAAGATATATATATAAAGAAATGAATACATTTTTTTGGAGAAGCAAGATTTCCATGTACAGACCAGGACCGTGGAGTGGAAACTGAACATCACGTACAGTATCTGTGTAGTATAACTTTATGCGTATACAAGCCATCACAGGGTCATGGTGAACCAAATGAGCACCCTCTGATACACCCGGTCTTGTGAACATGCTCCTCTGCAATCCCATTTGTGCTGTGTGTGTTCCAGAAGGAATTGCTCCATGATACGGGTGTACGAATACATCAGCTCATTTCATGTTTCAAAAACAGTATGTGTACGTATACACTGAAAATGAGATACGAGATTCTGCTCAGTGTAAGGATTTGCTAAGTTTGTGGTGTGTTTAACCGAGTTATTTTATGGTTCGCACTCACAATTTAAACAAATGTATTTAATAAATCTTACTTAATGATTCCAAAAGCGAGAAGTGACATTGTAATGTGGGGAAATGTGTTAGTTTTGTGTTGTTGCAGTGCCTCGTCGGTCACACACAGGTCACTGTTAGAGACAAGGGTCATGGAAGAAGATCATCTCTATATCCTGTTTCCAACGATATCTTTCATGAACATGTGACTGTAGTGAAGCTACAGCTTTAAGAATAAAAAAAATAATGTACACCGCTGTCGTCTGCTGTACGTTTACTCTCACAATCAAATATGTAATTGCAAAAACTCTGACGTGATGATATTGCTTGTTTTCCGTCTTTGCTTATTTTTAAACACAGTCTGCACATTGGTGATGGTGGAGGGGAGTTCAGTGATGAGTGGAGTGTCTACAAAAGTGCTATATAAGTGTTAGAAATTATTCTTCTTCTTCTAATGAGTGGAGTCGAAGCGTCAACATGGATATCCAGTCTCATTGCTGCTCCTAATCCCTGAAGGCATTGTCCCTTGGAATAGCAGTTTACAAGCCTTTGTGTGGAAAATAAATTATTCCAAGAATATCGGCTCGTTTTAAATATTACTGTTTACGTGAACATGCATCGATTCAACTGTTTTCTGCTTTATGTAATTAAGGGATGAGTGGGAGCCAGAGCCTATCCCAGCAATTGTGTGCAAGGCAGAATGCATCTTGGATGGGACACCAGTCCACTGCAGGGCACACACAGACATCAACATGCACATACTCACACCAGGGCCAGTTGTCCAAGATGCCAATTAACCTACAACGTTGCCTTTGGGCTGTTGGAGGAAATTGGAGCACCTAGATGAAACGCATTCGAACACAGGGAGAACATGCAAACTCCCCAGGGACTGGACCCAGGGCCCGAGCGCTGCAAGGCAGCAACGCTGACCCCTGAGCCACCCTGCTTCACAAGGAACATACACTGAGGTTCATGTAGAAGTTTGCACTCTGCCGTTTTAACTAGTGTGATCATATTAGGCATACTGTCCCGAGCAGATTCGACCTCAGTGATTGAGAAGTCCATTGAGGGACAGTTATTGGTATTTTGGGTTTCCTTATAAAATCAATCTGTTGTCGTCTGGGCTATGTATGTAAGGAAAGTGGTCAGTTCCACTTAGACTTTTTTACAGGGATTTAAAAAATATACCTCCAATGGCCAGCACTGCTAAAACAAGGCTGGAACGTTAAACACCCACATCCTCAGGACATCACAAAGGCTACGCACTTTTCTTATTGGCGAGAGTTCTTTGCTCAGACCACATAAATTGTCCAAGAGCATATTAAATTTGTATACTTCACATAGCACATCGAGTATTTTTCAATGTTGCTTTTATGAGGTTTGTGTCCATGAAACATTATTCTGGTCTGAACAATTCCAGTATTCAAATTCTGGGATTAAAAAAACAATGCAAATTTATTTGGAAGAAAAATTACAGACTTTTTCTGTTTGATTTTAGATAGTATACATATATACATATTTTTATATAGTATATTTTCAACATATAATTAGTGTGATAATTTCTGATTGGTTACAGTTAATAAGTAATTCCAATTAATATGGTAAATTTTTTAAAACCTCTTAACAAAATGGTTTGGGTACTGAAACAGACTCATGAAAGCAGTTCGAGAGGAACAAGCTTTTTAATCAAAGCATGAATTTATTTAGCAGAAACATTTTGTTTGGCTCCATTACTTTTTGTAATATAATTCAGCAGGACAAGGTGACAGATTGTAAACATTACAATGTAATACATCACATAAAACTTAAAGCTAAATTTACAGACTGACGTTTGAAAATATTTTGTGCGGTATTTGTTACATGAACGTGTTTCACTTGTATTCCTCGACTAAAACGTCATAAATCTAAATAAACCGCATCTATAATACGCGATATACACGACACTGGTACTGCAAAGCTAAATTCAACAAACCAGAATACGTCACACATCCACGTGACGAGGGAAACAGGAAGTGCCCGGCCTTTGGTGGTCACGCGACCGGAAGGAGTAATACCGAGAGGAGGAGGAGGAGGAGTTTGTTTTCTGGTGGTTGGCTTCCTGTTGTGATGGTACAGCGGTAGTATTGTAACATACAGCGACTTTGGTTGGTGAATCAAAGAGGAGCTTTTAAATATAAATATTAATTTTGTAAAAGGCTTGGTAGCCAAAGAGACAGAAGTAAAATTTGGGCGACACGCTTTAGATTTCCAGCGATAAAAGCTCTAGTGAGCTCCGCACGGATTGAGCGGGCCGCGGCTCCGGTCCTCGGTGGGTGTTTTTAAGGAACAGGGAAATCCAGAAAACAGGTTGGAATAGGAGTTGTGTCCATTACCCAAATCAAGAAGTGCCATTTCCCGGGTCTCGCCATGGCCGTGGTCAACGAGAGCGCTCTCAAAAAGATGCTTTCTAAAGTAAGTTCTGCAGAACAAGATGAAACTGTGCTTTCCTTGTTCGTCTTTCTTTTTATTTTTGGGTATCGCTGGTTTCAAATATTATAGGTATCGGCTTGTCTTTATAGTTATTTAGTCCGTAATCACTGTCTTTCCGAAAGCCGTCAGGAAATATGATCTAAAACACATCTCCGTTCTTGCTCCTGTGTTTAAGCGAAGCTTAAAAGTAACGTTTTTGTTTCAAAATCGTAAGTCATAAAAGGGGTAGTGTCAGACGAGAGGAAAAAGAAAACTCTTGATGAAGATAACAGAGAAAGACTGGCGACTTGTGACTTTCAAACCACAACAGCCCATCATGGAACTTTCGTTCACTTATCGCAAACGGGTCAATTGTCAGGCTACTGCTTTTCGTTTGTTTCCGTGGATTTCTCATTTGCTTTAATGGATTCACATTACATTTGCCATTGAAGTGCGTTTGCTCTGTATTCAACTGGAACTCTCCAGTGGCTTAAAAGGCGAGGGCACCTCCTGTTGAGTCTCACCCTGGCCGGTTTGAACGCATCCGCTCACAGGAACTGGGAGTGACCCCATACTGACACAGGTGGTCTAAATGCATTTAGGATTGGGCAGCCTTGAGCCTGCAGGTGTCCTGAAGCTTGCCTCTTCTCCAGTTCCTTCAGTAAACATATTAATGAACAAATTGGCAATTCCAAAACGTCTGGGGGACTACAATACAAAATAATTGAAAATCACAAAATCATGAACCATTATCAAAAATTACACAGATGTTTTTGGCATACAACAGGCATTTCTGAACTTGCCAAACTTTCTCTTTTTTTAGCAATACAAGTACAGGGACCTGACAGTGCGTGAAATTACTAATGTCATCTCCCATTATAAGGACTTGAAGCCTGTCATGGATGCTTATGGTAAGCAGAGCCCTTGTGAGTTTTGAATTGTTTGTTTCTTTACCTGTTGAGCGTTGCTACACTATATGCTATAGATACCTTGTGTTGATTTGATGTCAGGATACTTTGAACGAGAGCATATCATATTGATGTTAGTTCCACCGAAGTAATGTGCTGGGTCAGGAGATTAGATTTTTAAAATAAATTTTCTAATAATTTTCATTAGCACCAGTTAACAGCCGATTCATATTTAAAGATGTGAAAATTGTTAGTGTATTTGTGATATAGCTTGTGGTATGTCATTCAGTGGCCTGCAGTTTTTTTTAATTTAAGCTTATCTTGTTTTTAAAACCCACACCTTAACCCTTTTTCTGTGGAAGGTATTTAGTTAAATGTTGATCTTGTGTGCTTGATTTCAGTGTTTAATGATGGCTCTACAAGAGACCTGATGAGTCTTACGGGAACTATTCCAGTTAGCTACAGAGGTAAGAGTGGGCCAGTGTTTGGTGCTGGCTGTGTCCCAGCAGTGCCATGCCCATTCCTGAGCTGTGCCAAGGATGAATGGGCTAGAGTTCGCTACAGGAATGGTTCTTAAAGACCTCTGGATGAGGTCTTTGAGTTTCTGTAGAAACCTGGCAAGAAATCGCCAAGATCAAATGACACCCCCAAACCTAGCAGTGTGTGAAATCAATGCGTTTCTACTGAGCACTTTTTATCTCAAAAGATGCCAGAGCACCAGAATGGATCTCCTATCCTGGAGACCTGCAGCGCTCAGTACAGGCTAGGACTGCACACCAGATCAGGTAGAGAAAGGCAGAGTTACAAGGGGTGTACATAAAAACACAACCACAGGAATTGATCCCAGGGCCCAGGTGCTGTGAGGCACCAATGCTAATCACTTCACGACTGTGCTGCCTGACATTGTACCTTTCAGCTTGTAATATCTTGGATCTAACAGTAGCTTTTTCTGTAATAAATTTAATCTGTTATCTGTCATCACTGTGAGTAATGGAATCTACAAGAGAGAAAAGGCTGAGAGGATCCTTTACTTTTACTGTTTTTTACTGTTCAGTATTGATATTTGTGGCAATGCTTTGTAAATCAGAGCTCCTGTAACTCCTCCTATATAGAACACAAGTATGGATACAAACGAGCAGGCGTTCTGTCCATCCTGCTAATTTGCTAAAGTTTGGGAGTTAATTGATCAAAGAGTCTCGTTCAGCTGTTACTTAGAAGAAACCAAGGTGTTGGCTTCTGCACCATGGCTGTTTCCCTGTTCCCACAACCCTTTATGAACATTGATATAAGCTGAGCCATGGGGAGACATGAGGGGTGAACGTGTTCACATTGACAGAGGCTCTGACAGTGAGACAAGGAGGAGCCGTTGAATGGCCATCCTGTGTGAGTGTGAGTTGTACTAGTGAGCAAAGGTCTTCTGCAGTTGGCCAGTTTAATGCTCGTCATGAAGCTGGAGACATCAGAATATGTTGGCTGGCCTGTGTTGTGGTAAGATCAGACATTCACGGTCCTGAAATGCATAGAGCACACTCTCTCTCTTGGTCTTTGTAATACAATATTCTGCTCTAAACAAAACTCCATTGTCCACATACTGAACTTAAACTTTTTTAATACGTCAGTGATCGAGGGGAACATTGGGAGTGATGGAAAAACTGCCAGAAAAGATCAAGCTTCTTCCTGCAGTTTCATACTTGTGAATGAGCCGGCCATTAGACAGTCTGGGCAGAAGAATGTGGGAAACCACGGGTGTTGTCCGGTGAAATCACACTCTCCTGTGCGAATGCAGTGTCCAACAACCAATACAGTGGCATGTAATTGAAAGCTCCAACCTATCCTAATTCTCAGATAGGGCAGATGAAATCCAGAAGGTGATCCTCAGATTTGAAAGTTGAGGAAGAAGAAAAGTTTGGGATCTTGTCAAAATGAGATGAGGGAATAAAAATAATAAAATTCTGGTTTCTTTATAACCAACAAAAATTGGGAGAGGGGTTGTTCTGTATGGGTGAGGATTTGAGTACTTCTGTACAATCTTTTCCTCCAGAGTGTTCTTGGTGTCACAAAATGACAACTCGCTTATTTGAATTGACCTTTTCCCTTTGTTTTTAGGGAATGTGTACAACATCCCAGTATGCCTTTGGCTTCTGGACACCTATCCCTACAACCCTCCTATCTGTTTTGTGAAGCCCACCAGTGCCATGATGATCAAGACAGGCAAACACATTGATGCTAATGGCAAGATCTACCTTCCCTACCTGCACGAGTGGAAGCATGTGAGTCAATTGGTCATTTTTTTCTTTTGTACCTTTTTTTGCCCTTTGTACATTATAGGACAAAAATCGGTAGGTGTACTTTGGACTTAATACTTAATAAATAATACTATAATTCCATAACACTGCAAAACAGGTGTGCCATGTTCAATAAAATAATCTTAGGCCAATCACATGATAGGATCATTTGTAAACCAACATAATAAAAGCAAAAAAACAGTTGTGATTTAATAGCAGATTAAGCCTTGAAGCTGCGTTGATTATCGTCCTATTTAAAACCAGTGACACTCAGTCATTTCTGAATTAGGCATACTGAATTTAGAGCGTGGACAATATGGCTTCTGCCATGTGTTTATTTTAGTATTGCTGCTATCCTGAAAGTTAAACCAGATTCAGACATTATTTGCTGTTGCATACAGTATGGCCTACAATCCTCTCACTCCCTGTTGTCTTCAGTTCTTAGTTTTCACTGAAGAACGGTACTGGCACTCCCAAGCGGTGAAATGGCCTGTTCCATGCGATTAGTGTGTCAGGGTCCTTTTAAAACATGTCGTAAACTAAACCAGTTTATCTGATCAGACTACACGTGGTCATTTTAGATCAGCTTACATTGTTTCACTGTGTTTAATGTATTTAGTCTCTCCACTTTCTCATATTTCCATGATTCATTTTAGCTGTTACAGCAGCTATTCTGCTGCAAAAGGTGTGATAAAAACTGGTCACATTAGTCACATGATCTCTGGAGAAAATCTGAAGGTGACTGGGGCTGTTTGTCATCCTGCGTCAAGAGCAAACAGATCAGATTACAGCGGAGATGGGCACCGGAAGTCCAGACAGTTCTGCTAAAGCTACACTGTCAGTCCTGCCAGTGTGTGAAATAAAGCAAAGTCTTCTAACTGGATTGAAGGGAGCCTTTGAGCCATTAATTTTAAATTAATTTCTTTGAACTATCAAGCAAACAACTTTTCACAATCTTGCCGAAAAGCTGGCAGTGACATTTTAACTTGGTAGTAATTTTCTGCACTAACTGTTGCCATTCGGTTTCTTTGCTCCTCAGTGCTGTTGTATGGATTTGAAAGTTTTAAAAGTACATGAGTAATCATAACGCACATGTTTGATAATGATATAATTTTCAGCACTAACTAAAAAGGGGTTGTTTTTTTAGTTAGCTCTTTCTTGTGGTCCTTCATTCATCTGTAGGTATCTAGTTTCACAGGTGGATTCTTCCATGTTTGGTTTCTTCTTTGTGAGAGAGTAGTATGCTGGCCAAACCAGGCTTTAACCCAGTGTCATGCTGTTGTCATTGCTCCACCAGCCTCAGTCGGACCTGTTCGGTCTGATCCAGGTGATGATCGTGGTCTTTGGAGAAGAGCCACCTGTTTTCTCGCGTCCCACCACACAACCCCCGTACCAGCCATACCAGGCCACTGGACCTCCGAACTGTAAGTACACAGAACTCTTACCCCAGCTAAGAGCACTTCTCATCTTTGGGATCTGAATTTAGCTTCCTTGTCAAGATTTGGGCTTTCCAGCGTGTAAAATGACAAATGCATTAGTGCAAAGCCAGTGCAATGAACTCCTTCTATTTCTTTTTAAGTTGAGATTTAGCTCAGGCTTCTCAAAGGATCTGTCATGGAGATTTTCAGAATATCAATGCAGTTTTCGTTCCTGACACTAGGTGTCTCTTTCTGGCTTTCTTTAACACTGTAGGAGATCAGAACCATTACAGACTGTCTGTAACCTGTTCTCTCTCTTAGCTTCCTACGTGCCAGGAATGCCAACAGTGTCTTCTTATGGACCAAGTCATACTCCAAACACAGGGTAAGGCTGTCCGGCCATTAGAAATATTTAATTGTAATGCCTAATGCAGTCATCTGCCAAAATATGATACGACATGAGCGGTACTTTTCTGGTTTTGTGGTTTAAATTTTGCAGAATTAATGTGTCCCACCTAAGTCTTTAAGGAAAATAAATTGAAAAAGAACCTCCAGCATTCACAGTAGTTGGCAGCCATTGTAACTGAACAAAATGGACTAACAGCTGAAACCAGTTTGTAAATATAAGCCCCGCCATCTGAAGTCATGATGATGAAGGTAGTTGGAGTGACATTGTTTCCTTACAGGCTAACATGGACATTAAGGGTGAAACTGGGGGGACACTGTGATCCCCTTGTTACAGGATGTTGTCCTAGATATAAATAGATGAGTTCCCCATTATAAAAATGGCAGATGACAAGATTGGAGAAGCCTCTGACCCCAGATCTGTCGTGATTTTAACACCCCTTCTTTGCCCAGACCAGGAGTGATTTCAGGCAACTCCCCCTTCCCGCCTCACACACACTCAGCCAGGCCTCTGTTCCACTGCCTAGCTCTGAGGGCCCCATTCAGCTTTGTGATCTTTTTTTTTGTGACTTGTCATTTCTCCTGTCCCCTCCAGTGGGTACCCGGGCTACCCCTACCCCGGGGGAACCTCGTACCCTCCAGCAGGCAGCACCCCACATTACGGTGCCCAGCCCCCAGTCACCACTGTGGGTAAGTTGACACATGTAGTGTAAGGACCACAGCTGCAGTGGATTTTGGATTTTGAACTCCTCATTAGGTGTACCATAAGCATCTCATAAGGTGTTTGTAGATAGGTGCCCTGAAGTCATTTGCTTAATGGATGTATTTTATATCAAAGAGAGCCTTTAATTTCAGTTCAAAGCAATTTAACCTTACCGTGCAGTTTAAAAGCAATTCGAACAGTTAATCTGGGAATGTATTTGTTATGGTTCTAGTATTTATTATCCAGACATAATTTATTTATAGCATCATATTGGCATTACAACAACATAAAAGATCTCATTTATATGTATTGGTTTATCACTGAAACCTCAGTAATTCTGTTAGCTGTGCAAGTGTTTGTGTTCAGACAGTTTATTTCTTACATTTGGAATATATTTCTAAGACAACACACAAGCCTGTTCAATAGCAGTTTCAGAGTTCCCTGTAGAAGCAAAAGCAGGAAATGTTTAATTGAATGGTTGATGTATTTGTGATCTTACTTTAATCTTTGCTTAAGCCTTTGTTTTTCCTTGCTAAAACTGACGGGTACAGAATTGATCAAAGTTAAGATGACCTCACCGCTCTGCACAACCCCTCATCTTGTTATAATGTCATATGAGATTTCATGTGGAAACTTTATCTTTGCCCCTGAAGTACAGTAGACAGGAATTTTGACCTTGAGGCATGAGGGTAGTTCAGACCACAGTCATGAAGAATAAAGGTTGTGAGTTACTGTACCATACTCTTCCGTTCTGGACATGTTCCAAGATGGATGTTGTTCAGCCTGCAGTGATGCCTCAGTCTCATGCGTAATGTCTTGGCACAGTGTGTCTTCTGGGATCCTGGGATAAGTCCTTTGTGCGTCTTCTGGCCTTAGCAGCTCAAGATTATCCTAATTTATGTAGCATTTAAACCAGCCGAGAGCACAACTACCCCGGAAGGGACACTAGTCTGTCATGGGTTCCTGCTCCAACAGGGTAAAGTGGGGTAGGTTGGAGCAATCGGGAGCAAACTGCCTACCCATGGGAGCAGCAGCAGCAATGTCTGCACATGGAGCTTGATCCCATAACTCTGGGTCGAAGAGCCCAGTGGCTGAGCCGGCACTCCCTTCTGCCTCCAACGCTTTCATGAATAGCGCTTGGTAGGTACACAATCCATTTTAATCCTGCCACATGTGTGAAATTCAAGGTGTTTCAAATGTATCTGTACTGGACTGAAAGAGTTAAATCCAGGAGTCTGCTCAGCGTTTGGCCTCCCTCTGACCCCTGCCCTTCTGTTCAAGACTGTCATTCCTATTGTCCCTGCCCTGGGTTTTGGGCTGTGGGCGGTGCGCCGTTTCTAAGGTCATGACTGTAACTGGAGCCCCTTTACTAAAGGTCAGCTGGAGCTGGGAGTTCAGACTCGGAGACCCGGACACAGGTTCCCACCTCCTGTGGGCTATATTTAGGTCAGAGGGAGAGCATGGAAGGATAAGGTTCCTTAAAGAGCTTGAAGCGTGCAGCCCAGATTAAACCTGACATTCACACTGGCCTCTTGCAGCCTGCTGACTCAGGCCTGCATAGACAGGACAGCCTGGGCCTCATGGACGGGCCAGCACTGTGTGTTTTTCAGAAAAGATCAACGTCTGCCTGGACAAAAGTGCTAAGAATTCTTGGTAGTATTTACCAAGTCTTAAGATGAGATTTGAGTAAGAAAGAAAACTTCCAAGAAAGGCTTTCCTGTTTTTTCTTAGCCATTTTAACACAGTAAAATGAGACCAAACATTTAGTCAAAATTACTGGTGTTTGAGATTGTACAAGCTGTGCTGCAGTTTCATGCCCAACATCTCATTATAATTATAGGACAGTTGAGCGTATCAGTTTTCAGGCTTATACAACCACTGATGCTTTCTGCTTCAATACAGCATAGTAAGAAGGTCCAGTGGAGAATGTGAAATTTCCCATATTTTGTATTGCTGTCTTTTCTTGTAATCTTAGTGTTGTATTAAAGTCAAATCGTTACAGTTATAGATAAAGAGCAAGGCTGCGCACAACAATATATTTTGTACATGAAGAAAATGCCTCCAGAGAGCTGTTAACAGACAGAGTGCAGACAGGTAGTCATGTTTTTACCTACTGACTATACGTAACATGCTTTATGTCAAAAGATTTTGTTTGAAGAGTAGCTAAGCCTGATTTTACCTTCCTAGAAGAGAGTGGTTATAGAGCTGCACGCTGCTCTGCTGTCAGTGTGGAGGCGTGGCTCAGGGGAGGGCTGTTTCACGAGCTGTGCTTTTTTGTTCCAGGGCCCAGCCGGGATGGCACCATCGGCGAGGACACCATCCGTGCCTCCCTGATCTCGGCAGTGAGCGACAAGCTGCGGTGGCGCATGAAGGAGGAGATGGACCGGGCCCAGGCCGAGCTGGACGTCCTCAAACGCACGGAGGAGGACCTGAGGAAGGGCCATCAGAAGCTGGAGGATATGGTGTCGCGGCTCGACCAGGAAGTGGTGGGTGGTGATCTTCTCATCAGGGTGTAGAGGATCCTTCCAGCTGTGTCACCTTTTACAAGCCTGCTTTACAGTGTTTACAGCCATTTAGCACTTTAATATAGCCATAACTGCAGCAGACTCAAGCTGGAAACTGAATGTGAGGCCTAGTCACAGGCATATTGCTAAGGTAAGAGAATCTATAAGCATTCCTCAAGAAACATAAGAGAACATGAGCAAATCTGCCAAAAAGAATGGGCAAAAATTGCACCAAGCCACAGTGCAAATTTGGTAGTCATAGATAGATACTTTATTGATCCCGTGAGGGAAATTGCAGTGCAGTGCAACAGCAGCTTAACACACACAACACAGCCACAGTGTAACAAATTATATAATAATAGTACAATACATACAATACAATACAAGAGTTATTCACAGTCCGGACACACAAGAGCAAACTAGAACAGAACAGTACACAGAAAATCGTATCACACATGTGAATATAAATATAGATGTAACCATAGATATAAATATAAATGTATTGCACAGGTCCCTGGCATATATTGCACAAAAGTGCTTGTAAACGGGAAAAAGAAAAAGAAAGAGAACAGATGTAGCAGTAGATGTGTATATGCGTTTAGTCCAGAAACAGGTCACTGTCGATGTTGCCTCTGGCAAGACGCAAGGTGGATGCGTTGTACAGTCTTATGGCAGACGGCAAGAAAGACCAGCTCATGAATACTTTTGCAAGGCGCTCTTAACTCTTCATGTCATGAAGTCTGTATCGTCATTTGTTGTAAACTAGAGCCTCGGTGAAAAGGTTTCATTCTTTTAGTTGGTGCAGGACATGACTAAATATTAACATTTGTTACATTTTTCAAGTCTATATTGGGTTTCCTTGCATATTTGAAGTTTATGATGATCACATGATCACATCACACAGTGGTTCTAGAGTATGTACGGACCTATGCCATCGAGCCCTTCACTCTGCAGGACTGCCAGGCACTCCTTTCCGTGCTACTGCAGTGAAGCAGGTTTCTCAGGGCTCAGGCAGCTCTCTTAGGAAATGTTGCTGCTGGCAGTGAGGGCCGCGGTGATCGAAGAGCTGGTCTTGTGTTTGCGTCTGCACCAGGCGGAGGTTGACCGCAACATTGAACTCCTGAAGAAGAAGGATGAGGAGCTGAGTGCCGCACTGGAGAAGATGGAGAGCCAGTCGGAGACCAACGACATTGACGATGTCATCGTGCCCACAGCGCCCCTGTACAAGCAGATCCTGAACCTGTACGCAGAGGAGAACGCCATCGAGGACACCATTTTCTACCTGGGGGAGGCTCTGCGCCGAGACGTCATTGACCTGGAGGTCTTCCTCAAGGTAGGAGAGTTTAGACTTGTCTGTCCAGTTCGGTTTCACTGGTGGGTTTGATGGAAAAGGATGCGTTACAATAATGTTGCTGTCAACCGCTTTGAAGTTAGTTGAGCCTTTAACAGAACTAAGCGATAAAGAGCTCATCTAGAATGGCAACTAAAATAGAAAGTGGGTTTGTATGGGTTCATTATAGTCAGATGTTACACAGATTTTCTCCTGAGCCACAGTTCTGTTATTCAAGAAAATCATGGTGTGCGAAGGTGGGACAGGTGGTACTCAAGAAGTGCACTGGTGATATAAGTTTTGTTTTTATGAAAAAAACGCAACAATCGCCGTGTCACGTTTCAAGCAAGGACCTAACCTAGGGTGAAATCAAACCAGACAGTTTTCAGGTAAGGTAGTCCCATATATAAAAATATTTTCAAAATGCCCTTCAAAGAAGGCATTTATACTTTTTCAGTGTCTATTTCCTAAAAGGTCACTAAGTTTCTGATTTCATATCAAGCTGTAACTTACCATGCAATGTTTTACTGAGCATATTTTAGCTGCCATATAAAGTAACATGACCTAAAGTCCACCGATGTCCTGCCTTGGCCTTTCTTACTTCAAGACTTTATAACCAGGTCAGGGGTCCTGTGTGTGATGAAGACTCTGAAGGTCTTGACTTCATCTTGCCTTTCCAGCATGTGCGTCTGCTGTCCCGCAAGCAGTTCCAGCTCCGAGCCCTGATGCAGAAAGCCAGGAAGACTGCCGGCCTGAGTGACCTCTATTGACCTCCTTTCGACAGCATACACACTCTTTTTAGTAACTTCGCGTTTTACTTTTTCTCTCACCTAGACAACAGTTCTCTTCCCCGTCCTTTTAAAAAAAATTGAATCAAATGTATGCAGCACTGCCCTCACAAACCCTGTAAAGAGCAACAAAGCAGTCCTCTGTGCCCTTTGAGCTGGATAGGATCTTCTAACAGCATTATACCTTGCCAAGTGTTTTCAACACTAAAGAGCGTATTGATCTTGAGAAGCAGCAGCAGCCTAGGTAAGGCAAGAAATGAAAATTTGCCTTCTAATGTAAAATGTAGGAGGCTGTAAAAAATGTGGAAGCAGAAGGACATACTGTACTGTGTATATATTTAAACATTTGTGTATTACACATCCTTTATTGCAACCGTGCATACTATGCCTCAGTCTGATATTACCGGTCAAGGATCAAGAGGCCAAGATCTGCATTCTCTCACAAGCACTATGTCTTCGTCAGCCTGAAGACATGATAAGGTTGTGGTTTTATTGGGTTCCAGACCCTGTATTAGGAATGCTGAGCGTGTTGCAGAGAAAGAAACTGGACTTGAGCTGAGTTTGGTGTATGATCAGGAGTCTGATTCCCTTAATCTGATTTATAACCATGACAATGCTTGATTCTCATATGGTATCTGTCCTGACCAGTGGCTTTACAATGATTATGAAAAGCATTACAGGTTTGCAGTGGGCCTACAAGGTGTTTTTGGGTTTGAGATAACTCAATAATCCTCTTTAAATGCAGAGCCCCTTTTAGCCAGATCTTTTTTTGTAAGACCATCCAATACAGTTTGTCCATTTTAAGCTATTGTGAAGGATTGAAGGAAGTGTTATTAAGCTGTTTCCAAAGTAAGACAGTATATTATGCTTGAATGAGGTGGGATCCTTTATTTCCTTTGTTTAAAATGACACAGACGCAACCTCAGTGTCCAGGAAGATGTTCTGGTCCCGTCCCTAATCACCTCTTCTTTTCACCCACAGAGCTAGGGCTTATTAATTAAGCTTATTAATTACAGCCCTGCTGTTGTTTATACTGTATGTATGAAGATGTTTTAGTCACTTTTCATTCTATATTATAGGGTGTTACTTAACTTAAGAGTGTCATTTTAATGTTGGACTCCTTGGGACTTGAGAAAGCCAAACCTTACTTACAGATAAGACTTTCCTCTCTTAGCTGGATGAATTATTTATAGAAATTGAAAGCAGCAAAGTTTTGTTTCAATATAAAACAATACCTGTTTAAGATTTTTGTTTATTATTATTTTTATTCTTCTGTCTCTCTTCACTTTGTATAAAGCTAATTGTGTCCTTTTCTCTTCTATATATATAAAAGAGTGGAGGTGAATATTTTGTTTCATAGTTTTTTTCAGTCACTGTTATCCGAAACTGTTGCAGTGGCTTGAGGCCATCAGAGTAATTTCCCAGTCAATGAAGTCATAGTGTAAAAGGGAATTTAAGGCTGTTGGTATCGATTGTGATGAAGGTATCACCCTTTGCTTAGGTATAGTGTATATTAAGTGAAAATGAAAAGTATTTTTTTTTCTTTAAGACTTAGCTTTTACTTAATGCACTTTGAATGACATTATGACCTTGAGCATTGGTTATGGGAATTTTATTTAGGAATAAAAAAGGTTGCATTTTCAGTTGGCTTTGTTCTCATTTTGTTGAAGACTTGTTTTACACTTCTATTTATATAGCATGTTTCTGGTGAAAGCACTTTACAGGTAATGGGGACTCTCCTCCACCACACCAACTGTGCAGCCCCTACCTGGATGAGGGTTTTCCTCAGTATACGTAGTAGCACAGTATCGTAGCATATATGAATCTAAAACAGGCTCGTTAACTTAATTTTCAGTACATTTTGACTGAGTTCTTCAGATTATAAAAAAAGTACAGATCTGGGACTTCAATTAATTAGAAGGTGGATGCAGAACTGCAGATAGTTAAAATATATACTAACAAATACAATAAAATACTTTGTAGTCAGGGTTTGGGATTCTCTGCCAAATTGTGTTGGTATAAAAATCTTACACTTCTGCTATGCACATTTTTAATTGTGGCAAATAAGTAGGTCTTCAGTGTCAAAACATATTTCTTCAAGGCGTTATCTGCTACACAGACGTCTCTAAGGGGTGGCCAGGGTGTCTGAGGTTGACAGCTTGCTACATTTGCAGATTTGAATCTGAACCAGGTGATTGGGGGAAAGAAACTGGAAAATATGTGCCACTGTATTTAAAACGGAGAAAATGAAACACCTCTTTACACAATAGGTTGTAAAAAATGTGACCAAGTTGACCAAGCCACAATGCAGGCTTCTTTCAAGAAGGGGCTGGATGAGATCCTTACATCAATTAGCTACTCCTTACCAAACTGGTTAAATGGGAAGAACAGGGGGCCCCCAGCTGTAACTATTCTTATGCCTCAGTGTCAAAGCTTTCATGTTTCTGGTATGGAGACTTAAAAGCAAAGACCAGTGCTGTGCATTATTTATTCTAAAACATCCCTTTTACCATAAGTATTAAAGAGCAAGGAGAGAGACAGGAAAGAAAGAGTTTAACCCATTGTTTGTCCTGGAAGTTTATTTGGTGGTTGGAGATAATACAAGTGAAACACTCAGCTGCCTTATCCTGTAATTCAGTCTTTTTTTTTACACCTTTACAGAATGACCTGTTATAGACAACACTGTGATGCAAAATGGGGGGCATTCACTACCACAGAGTGAAATACCAGTAACCAAAGGCTGAAATGTGAAGAAATCAATACAAACCTCCCAGCACATATAATACTTAGATAAATACACAGACACTATCAAGCGCAAAAGCCAGATTCCCATTCCTAACAGAGGTTCTCCATCCTTATGTGGATGCACCACAGTAGCTCAATACCTTTAGTTCTCTGTTAAAGTTCTTTTTTTAATTAAAAAATAAATCTATCTTGGTCGTTCCAGAAGGGCAGTAATTTTACCCCCATTTTTTTCATGCCAGCAGTTGCACCCCGTATTTCATCTATTTCTTTTGTGGCACTTGTCTGCTGATGGACAAGAAAAAGCACCAGTTTCAGAGGGGCCTTGTGTTAGTTACAGTCAGGTTATTCTTAACGAAACAACCCAATTTCAAGCCCAGTTACTTTAAAGGGCAGGTGCTGTGTTTTCAGTCAGTGAGTGTGGAGCAACGTGGCTAGTGGGGAGGCAAAACCCAGACAGCAGCTCCGGTCTGGGATTTGTCTCTGCGTGAAGGAGGAGGGCGGAAAGGAATGATTCTGTTGGTCAGGTAAAACAAAAACAGAGACCCAAAGCAAGAGCCATCCCCTACACCAGAAGCCAGTTTCCTTTTCTTCAGATGCGAATAATCTACCAGGAGTGCAAGGACGACAGAGAGACACACACAAGTTTTACACAGGCCTTGGCTTGTGAGCTGGGAGCACATTCCGCCCACCTCTGGCTTCGAGCTGCAAGGGCCAGCGGCCGGAGGGGCTGCTGCACAAAGGGAAGCGGTCAAGATTGTAGTAGGGTGGGGAGGGGGTGACCAGTGTTGGTACTCTTCCGCCGGTCAGCAACCTTTAAAGCTTCAGCTCCTTCTGGACACCCCAGAGGGTGTCAGCACTCTTCCTCAGCTGATCCTCCTCCTCCGTCTTCAGGGTCATCTTCACCACGTCTGAAAGCCCGCTGTTGCCCAGCACGCAGGGGACGCTCAGGAACACTTCGTCCTTAATTCCATGCATTCCCTGAGGAAAAACCAGGCAGAATGGAATTTAATCGAAAATGATCTTTTTGTAAATGCATGCTGATTATTCTCTTGTATCAGATTTCCCTGCATCTGATCCTCTGGTTCAGTTTTTGTTAAATGTTTGGCAGATCATTGCTGCTGAACCTTATGTGAAGAGTACAGGGGCCTCAGAACCACTCGTACTGTAATTCTTCAGCAAGGGTCCTGGCCTGGACTTACCTTGACCAAAGTGGACACAGGGTGGACCTTGCGCAAGTTCTTCATGATGGTCTCCACCAGGTCGGCCACAGACATGCCGATGGCCCAGGAGGTGTATCCCTTCAGCTTGATCACTTCATAGGCGCTGCGGGAGAAAGGGGCATTAGAGTCACCCAGCGGACCTGGCTGATAGTAACAGCAGCCATCCACACAGCTGCTCAGCATTTCTCCAGCCCCTGCTGAGGATCCGATGATCCGAGGAGAGCTGCCCAATAGCACAGTAATTCAATACTGTTCCTCTTACACAGAGCTTCAAAGAAATAGTAAGTGATCTCCATTTATATACACCTTTCTGTGTTTTTATAACCAATCACAGTGATTGCATCAGCTCCACAGTACAGTTAAACCCTCTTTAATGAGCCGCGGGTGAACTGGCACCACATCACTGCTAAAGCAGCATTCCTCACCGGCTTAAGCCGTTGCCAAGGAAACACTTTTCATCTGTGCTGCCCAGATAGACTCAGGCATTGCCACCAGTCAGTAAGTTCTGCCTTTCTTCCTTGTGAAAAAGGAAAAACTTTAAATGGCTAGATGTGTGTTGGGTAGCTGGTCTTGGGGAGTCACAAACCAGCAGGGTTAATATGACACCCTTGAATCACCAACTTGTAAACACTTGGAACTAAAGCAGCTAAGCGGTCATTTGGCTCATCCATCTAAAATGAGCCAATGAAATTGATCAATAATTTAAAATTGACCAATAATACCTGCTAGATGGTCCCTTTTTTACTGTTACTGTCCCTGTACTCCTCAAAGTTTATAATAATTAAGACTGTTGCAATATTATTTGTTTGTTTTTTTTAAATGTGAGAATTCCCTCCAATCCCTCACCTGTCCACCACCTGCTTGTGTACTTCCTTCCAGTTCTCCTGGTCCTTATCGGTTCCCAAGGTGGGGTTCAGGGTCTGCAGGGACACCCCAGCCACGTTCACCCCACTCCATACTGGCACTGCAGGGAGAAACGCCACATTAATGCCTGCTGTTTCAACACCATGGGCTGAAAAGGCATACATGAGAAAGTAACCGGGTATGTCCGCCTCCAGCTCGTAAAAGGATTTTCCAGAGCAACAGTTCCCAGCCCTGGTCCTTGAGGAACACTGTCTTCTGGTTTCATTCCAGCTGAGCTTTACATTTCCTGGGCTAATTGACCAGTTAAGTCTAAGCAAGCAAGCAGATCTGTTTCTTTGGTCAGTCCTGGCCGTCAGAAGTACCCAACTTCAAGGGTACAGTTTCCACACAGATCTTTACACAGCCTCTCCTCATCATACCATTATTTCAGAGTTAACAGCTCTTACTAGCTGATCAATTAATGATCAGACACAGGTTGGAGTGACACCACCAGACACACCCACAGTGTGTGCTTTCTCCTTCTGTAGAGGAAGAAGTGGTTGCATTTCAGGCAACACACCTGAATGTGTAATGTTGGTACAGGGTGGATATTACAAATCCGTTTCGACCTTTTTGAGAGCTGAAAGAACATTTACGACTATACCCCACACAGAACTTTGATAATTTGGGATGAAGAACACTGCCTGGAGACACTGGTCCTAAAATGAAACCCAGAGGGCGTGGGCACAGACGGCGCCTCACCACTGGAGTCGCCGTGCTCCCCGATCACCCAGCCGTGGCAGCTGGAGGGGTGCAGGTTCAGCCGCTCGCCCATCAGGTAGCGGAAGCGGGCGGAGTCCAGGTTGCAGCCGCTGCCGATCACGCGGTGGCGGGGGAAGCCGCTCAGCTTCCAGGCCACATAGGTCAGGATGTCCACTGCGGGGAGACAGCAGAAGGCGTTAGCTACAGGGCCGCCATTCCAGCAGCACTCCAGCTCCCCGTCTGGAAGCAAGCAGGGGCGGAGCAGCTCAATGGATGTTCCAGTCGATTACACACAGTAAAGGGGAATTAGTTAAACATCTGAAGCTAGGAAAAGACACGAACATGAAAGAAATAACTCATCCTCAGGAAGTGGATTTATTACATCTTCACAGGTAAACAGGAGAGCTGCGGGATTGTGCCTGCTGTCCTGAGCGTTCTATTAAAAGCATAAAATCTGATTTTGCTGGTTTCTCATACCAGAAACTCTGTAAGATACTTTTGCCTCCTGAGCCCACTACACAGTAGCAACCTCTTCAAAAATGATTTAATAGAGAAGAAAATGTGACTAAATGCACCACATCAAACAGTGTTTGATGAATAGTGCTGTCTGCTTTGAGAAAATATGAAAGCTAACAGCCTGCTCACTGGGATTAGAGGGGACTGAGAGCACATGATTGATCTTGCTCAGGACGGTGGCATTGAGAATATGACGTTAGCAGAGATCAAAGATCAGCTACCCAACAATTAGCTTTAATAGTAGCACATGAGAACACACACAGGTGGATGACAAGGGGATAGGGATTCCCAACAACGTGTCCTGGCATTCTCAAGCTTAGGTGAAACTCCCCCAGTGTGGTCAACCAAGAGCTGGCTACAGCTGTGCAGTCCTCCCCCAGCTCCCCTCTGACCCGACCTCACCAGGCCACAAGTCCTCCCCCTGCCCCTGCAGTTACTCACCAGGGTTCGAGACAACAAGGATAATGCAGTTGGGGCTGTACTTGACAATGTTGGGGATGATGAACTTGAAGATATTGACGTTGCGCTGCACCAGGTTGAGGCGGCTCTCTCCCTCCTGCTGCCTGGCACCTGCAGTCACCACCACAACTTTGGAGTTGGCCGTCACGCTGTAATCTGTGTGGGGGCAGGGGTCAGAGGTGAAAGGTGAGTATCAGACGCTGACCAACAGGGACCAAATCAACCACTTACTGCACAGCCACTTCCTTCTGAATGGCCAGAAGGCAAGGGCATTTATCAGGATTCTTTTTAGCCATTTATGTGAAAAATAAGGATTGAATGTAGGTTAACTTAAAAATACAGGATAATATTGCAAGCTACATTGAATGGTAAAAGCTGAAGTTCAGGCCTGTCCAACCCTGGTCCTAGAAGGCAGGTATGTCTGTGGGATTTCCAAATCTCTTTATAGCTGCTAAACTGGCCCAATTAAGCAAACAATGAGCTGATTTCCATCACTAAAAGCAGAGTTGAAATGAAAATGTGCATGAACACCGGCTCTCCAGGACCAGTACTGGGTACCCCTCCTGTAGGAACCAGCCAGAGAGTAACACCTGCTGAATCCCCACTGTCACCCCCTCCCCCACTCCACTCACCTTTATCAGCGACAATCTTGGGGGTGCGGAGGAAGAGCCCCCCATGCTGCAGGTCCATCATCTCCCCCTTCAGCTTGTCCTCAATCACGTCCACCAGTGCCAACTCGTCGGCCAGCTCCTGCAGGGCCCAGCGCAGGGAAGGAGTGAAAGTGAGGTCTAACAGAGCCTACTGGCTGCACTTAACATCTAAAAACATACAAATGAGATTAAGCCATTTGGCCCCTTTAGCTCATTTGCTAGTTTGCAAATAATTGATGCGGGTATCTCATCCAGCTCTTTATTGAAGAAAAATGGTATCAGCTTTAACAACAAGGCTGGGCAGCTTGTTCCACACTCCCAAAACCCTTTAGATAAAGAAGTTGCTCCTGCTCTCAGTGCCGTACTAACAAGGAGCACTTGGAGCTGGGCATGTGTGGCTTAGAAGGGTTTTGTACACTGGTGCTCACTTGGATCAAACAAGAACTATTGATATCAGTCATGGGCAACACTGCTTGATGTACAGAGTTCTAGACAGGCATTTGCAAATGTATAACTCGTTTGGAAAATGCAGACCATGATGAACCTAGAGGACAATATTTTGATAAACGGAAAGAAATGTCAAGGGAGACACTGGTTTAATGACTTGCCACTGACTCCGTTTCACGCCTGAAAGTTCAAAGTGATAGTCAATGTTTGTTCAGCAGTCCTCCTCAGGAAAAGCTGATCCTACTGCTTTGCTTCCCTGTTCATGGCTGTCTGCCCTCATTGAGACTCCAAGGTGTGAACAAAGGCAATTCTGCCCTCAGGCTGGGGTCCAGCTTGCAAGCGGTAATCGCAAAGTGCCAGTCTGTAACTACCGCTCCCTGACAGTCATAACCGAGCTGTTCTTTTCAGAACAAATCAACACTCCTTAATGAAGTCAGTTTCCACCTCAGCAGCTCCACTCAGTCTCCAGGAGACGCCTGCCACGTCTGGTACATTTTGCAGGTCATAAGTTTCCCCCAGCTGCCTCAGTGCCCTGGACACACAAGGAGCGTCCACAATGAGGGTAACCGACTCACTTAACCCTGCACCCCAGGGACGAGCACATCCGATTTACACATGAATTCCTGTTTACATAAAGTGCAACATTCAAGAAAGGAACACTCTATAATCCACATGATGGGAACTGAATGGGTGCTGAAAGGGATGCTGTACAGCAAGAACAAGTCACATTCATATCTGACTCAAAAAGGATGACTAATGACAGTAGTTATTCAGAAAGATGTAACAATAATGAATTATCTAAATAGGCACTGGAGATCTGGCACTTAGCACACCTGTGGCTCTTTAGTTCAAGTTTCATGAGACTTGGTTCAGTGGGCTCATACAATACAAATATACAACACAAAACTGATGGAGAGCATCCACCCATCATCTTTACAAGCCAACCTGAACACACCCAGTAATAAAACAAACAGTGAGATAATTAACAATGGGGTCTGATGGAAAAAAAGAATTAACTTTGCTAAAACTAAAGTGCAGAGGTTAGGCACCTCACAGCCTCCGAGTAGGTGGCAGACCTGGTCTTGATGACCTGAACCTCGAGTTCTCCCAGTGCCAGCCTGGGCAGACCGGACAACCCCTCCCCACAGGACTCACCTTCATGAGGACGCTGATGGCACAGGCCATGCCCACCATGCCCACGCCCACCACCGTCACCTTGTTCTGGGGGCCAGTCGGCTCCTCCTTCATCACGTGCTCGATCAGCTTGTCCTTCACGGTCGCCATTTTAATGATCTTGAGAGAGAGAAAAGGCAAGGCGGTGAAACGGGCTGCTGTGGCCGCAGTGACCAGAGACACCAGCGGCCCTTCTGTAAGGGTCACTCCCCAGCTGGAAGAGTCTGGCCTGTTGCTATCAATGCACCAAGGAAGACCAACACCGAAACTGCAGCTCTTTGACATTGACCCCTATTTCTTTCCGTGCTCTACTACGGTCTATCGACCGGCGACAAAAGGTCTCTTTAAGAGAAATGATTGGCCAATAAGTCAAGAGAATGCAAGTTGGTGCACAAATTGACGGTTCTTTTATAAATGCATCATGTCATATTTCTGGAAAAAGAAAAATGCAAAAATATGATAGTAGCAAGACCTTCAGTGTGCATCTGCAAAGACACTTCTGAATAGTGAAGCCAGACAATAAAACAATCATCGCTTTTGGCTGTACAGGAATTTCTATTTTTCTGGGTTTAAACTGGTTGTGCTTTCAATTAATTTAAACCTCTTTCAACTCCACATACAGTAAACAAGAAACTATTTTTAAATCATAGCACCTTCTTTCAGAAACATGGACTGCACTGACATTTGATTAAAAAATAATTAGAGGGTTTTTTTAATTTATAATGGGTGTTCCACCTGTATTTGGAGACCTAATGAGTTCGGCTAGAAAAGGGTCTTTGGCCGATATACAGAGCACTAGGTATTGTGATGGGTTCTGGGGCTACATAGCAAGGACACCTTGAAAAACTGCATCTTCTGAAACTCTGATTCGGGGGGAAACAAATCAAGGGATGTTTGGTTCAGGACAGGAATTTTAACAAAACCTTTATAGTAAATGGTTTATTACAGGACCTCTAAAATCAGAATAGTGGATTTGTATCATGAATGAGATTTATATAATGGAAAGCATAACATTTTCTCTGAAACTACAGAAAGGCTTAGCAAATGCTGGTTAGCAGGCAAACATTTTGTGTTCCCAATAAAATCCGATTCCACATTCTGAAAGAAGCCAAAGTAATATTTCTGTGTACACTGGTTTTTTGTTGTTTCTTTAGAATGACCAAGCCTATATAGAGTTGAATAATATACTGGATTTCTGGATTTGACCCACACACCGCTCCAGGGCGATCAACAGAACCACACTGCGAGGCAAGCCGTGACGACAGCAGCACGCAGACCGTGCCGAGGCCTGGTCAGGACACAGGAGGCAGGACTCCACTTTCTCGGGTAGACTTTTAACTCACTCGCTCTAGGAAGGAAATGGGGACCAACAAGATAGGACTGGAGAGCAGGCTGAAATTAACCTAAAGTCTTACGTAGTTAAGATTTCAAAACCATGATGGTAAGTGTTGATGATTGATGTGAGCGCCCATTCTGCCATGTCCAGTGTAAACCACTGAAGAGATGAGCTGGGGAAAGTATGTTGCTCATTGTAATCTGCCCAAAGCACAATACAGAAAATCTCTTAACCTTGGGGAGGTTTGACTAACATGACCTAGACAAATAATCCATAAAGGTTACACAGAGAGTTCCACCTTTAGAGAAAATAGGTGCTTCTCATTGATTTTGACAGCAGTTTATAATGAGGTAAGAAAAATTAAACTTGTTTAGCCAAGAAGCCACGAAAACTTTTATGAACACGCCAAACTGTTCTCCAAGCCTGTTGCTTTTAAACCTTGATAATATTGACTAGTGACAAATTGACAAGGACATCAAACTAGTTGTCCTAGTTGACCATTTATACTATCACACAGGAAAAACACAGCTCAGCACAGAGACAACAAAACATGTCTCAATCAAATATGACCCAAGCAGGGCAACACTGTATCAATTTGATATCGCCATGTAGCTAATATTTCTTGAAAAGGAGTGGACTAGGAATGTAGATACAAGGTCACTGTCCTCACTACATTGAACAGTATAAATCAATCTCCCCTCAGAGCTGTGCCTTCACAGGCTTGAGCCCCTGTCAGACTCCATGGCAACAGTGGTAACCACTCAGCACAAGTCTGACAGATGTTTGCCAAACCACTTCAGTGTTATTCTCAACAGATTTCACTGTTTATTCAACAGGTGATAGCAGACTATAGCCAATTTCTGCCCCCAGACAAGGCTAAACAAATATTTACAAGTGTTGCAGTTTCTCCAATCTACTTTAACCCCAGCGTCTTCTTCCGACAGGACATACACACCCGTTAAATACGAGAACACACTCATCCTGCATGGCAGCTGCATTTTTAAATGTAACCAGTAACTTGAAAGTAAAAACAAACCAAACCACTTTTGTTTACACTTTTGATACAGCACTGAAAATGAACATGCCAACTTTCTGAAGCGATTCCGCTTTAAAGCATAGTGTCAAGGGAACTCATCAACTCTTCACCATCTTTTAGGGGTTTTCTGCCTGGGCTGTTTAAGTAGAGTAGTTTGTCAGGCTATTTTAATAGAAAGGATCACACCAGAGCTTTAGGACTGAATTTTACCATTTGCAAGAATGGCTAATAGTATACTCTTGCATATCTTCTTCTTGTCTGCTCTCTGAGACTACCCCTAAAAGCTTCATTCTGATTTCTGCTGGAACATAATCAGCTTATTCTGTGAATCCATTCATGTAGCTCCAACCGCCCTCTTCAACGCCTGCCAAGATTCTTGAGCAAAAATAAAAACTTTTTTCAAGCCCAGACAGATTTAATCATAACAGGATCCCAAGTTGCTCTTGTACAGAAAGGGCTAATTCACATTTCTCGCATTGTATCAAGCGTTCCGCAAGGACCGCTCTTGAAGTGGCGTTTACGGTCAGTCTATACACACAGAAGTGTGAGGAATTATTAGTCTGCCAGTTCATCCTATCAACTGGCTCAATTAGACTCCGGTTTCTTGTTGCCTAGTCTCCCTGGAGTCAATACAGCTACAAAAAGGGTTCGTCTTTTCTTCACCAGTGCCCTAAAAGCACGTATGGCGAACTGGTTGAATTTATTCGAAGTGAAAAGAGGTCATGCTTGGAATTTTCTTGTCCTCGCATTAGCACCAGGGGAAAAAATACAACAAATATTTTCTCGGCAAAGATTCCCCCGTGCGTTTTGTTGAGAGTTATACTAGCGAAGGATCGTTACAGCAGAAACACTTCGAACTTGAAAAATACATGACGGAAAACCCTGTAAACCCGTTCGACTGCAAGAATCAATCTTTAAACCCGCACGAAAGTCTTATTCTGCTTGATGTAAGTTTTACGGGAAATAAGGTAACCTTCTGTTCAAAATACTATGAACCCGTTTGATGGTTATTCAATTTATTTTATTCTATCAGCTTGGGGCATAGCCCGTCTACAGCTGTTTGAAATCCCCCCCCTTCGTGCAATATGGCCATGCTTCAGAGTCATTCCTCCCTTGTTTCTCTGCGCAAGTACGGAATACAATCTTTCTGAAGTGGGTCGGGAGTAGGGATGAAGTACGGTAAATGCTGAAAGCGTCACGCTTACAAGAATAATCAGCTTCCATAGGAACTGATGAAAAGCAACACGTGGTAACACGTTCGCCACGCTGGAAGTCATCCAAAATCAAGAGCCCACCCCGTAATGCGAAATGTTTGCTCTTCACCTTCAAAAAGGCTTGGATGATTCCCGATCCGTTTTTACGTGCCCGTTTATAGCTTCCGAAAAAAAAGCTCCCGTCAAATTCGTGAACAATGCCTAAATCGTGAACAGCGTCCATGCAATTAACCAAATAAGCTCATATTTTACTTCCTTATCTCATTATTTCTAGGAAGTCGTGATGAAAGAACCCACTGTCCAGGGATAAGCAAGGAGCCAGCCTACATTTCCCAGTGTACTCCTGGGTTATTACAGCTTTACCATTGATGCGAGGGACATTTCAGGAAAGTAATCAGCGATGTCCATTTTGAAAGTGTCACAAGATCTCACATTTTTTAGAAGCAGGAGAGGAAATGGTCTTCGCTTGTTTTAGACGGGCCTTTGATAAAGTAGGTAGATGCAAGTGTAATAAACCTAGGTGTGTCCTAGTTGTGAAAACTAAAACCGATGCATTAATGAACTTCTCTACATTCGGAAACTCCCAGTAGAATAGCGATTGTTCTAATAAACGATTAAGAAGTCGATTACATCTGGTTAATCGACCAGGAGCATCTGCGACCAGAAAATTGGGCCAGTCAATCAAAGGTGACCTTTCCTGTCGCGAAACGTCAATGGGCAGGGCGTCACTGTACCGGCTTAATCTGGCAGCAAATCCGCCCCACAGAATCCGTTATTTTACTGTAAAATAGATGCATCCAGCAATCTCAAGGCTATGAAGCGAAAACTGGTATTTTCTAGTGACAATGTGATTATAACAAGTATATATTGATCACTTCTGTATATATGATCGTGATTATGTAGTCTATACAACTGCATAATGTATAAACCGAAGGCAAATGTTATAATACCAGAATACTTTCAAATATTTTTCAAAATCAACTTTAGGGTAGTTATGGCAGAAAGTCTTATCGTGGTTAATGTGATCAGCTCAGTCGAGGAGGTATTTTATCATGACTGTACATAAACCGCGTTTGTCTTCGAAACATCATGCTGGCAAAGAACACTAGTCTTTAAAACCAAATGCTACATTACTGAATACGCATATTACAATGCAGCATCCACTTCAAACTCTGATAAATACAGGGTGTTAATATCGTGCTACATAGTAATTTCTAATATTGCACTAACAATGTTCAGTCCAAAAGCGACCAAATATTAAAAACCTCATCCTGTTAGCACACGTAGATGTTAAGGTGTCCTTTTATGTCCTAAGCAGAAATCAAATGTAAAAAGAAAGCAGCAGTGCGTGATCTGAAAGCAGCCAGCCATCGCGGTTATTCTGTGGTAGGTCGCTCATATTTCCTCTTTGCAGCATCACGTAGCCCAGCACATCACAGGCAGGCGGCCGTGTTCGCCTTTTTTTGGTACTCGGAAAACAAATGCGAGAACAGAAAGCGCTCTGCGCAAGACGTGCGCGGCACCAGTTCCCCGGGGTTCCGATCCGGCCGTCCAGAAGATGCTGACTGAGACTTCTCGGCTGCAACCCAAGCTTACCTTTTATTAACACAAGCGCAGCGCAGTGAACAGAGATGTCTTCGGCTCTTCCTCCGCAGTGACAGCGGGAGGCGGAGCCGCCGGTATTTATAGCCCCGGCGGCCACTGACGCCGCCTGCTTTAAATATGAATTGTCCTGGGCGTGTATTTCGTACCGTGTTCATAGTCACGTCCGGAGAGCAGAGCAGGGAAGTGACACACGCAGGAACCTGAAGGGTGGGTCTTCCCCCGGCCTGCACTCTTCAGCTTGAGCTCTGTCGTGCAGCATCCCAGCCAGTTCAGACCAGACTCATGCGTCAAGGCTTCAGCTGCATCCGCCGATGGAGTTTCCCAAAGCAACGCATTAACAGGTGGCTGGACAGAACTGACTGTTTAAAATGTAAAGGAACAAGCAAAAGCTTATTCCATGCTGAAAAGAGAAGAAAAGAAACAAAACGTTTCGGCTGTGGAAACGTCTTGACACACGAAGAAGCCTCACAGCCGAAACGTTTCTTGTCTTCTCTTTTCAGCAGCAATAAGCCTTTACTTGTTCCTTTGCAGCCTGCGCATGCTGACACAGCTCCCCACCTGAACTGTTTAAAATGTAGATGTAATTTAATTTTGTTCAAGTTTCTCCTTACTTGAAAAAAAAAAACATTTGTCCCATACACCTACTAGAAAAAAAAGTATGCCTTTAGTAGAAACCACAATGCTGGCATAAGCCCAGGTCTGAGTTTAACAGACAACTTAATGAAGGAAGTTAAACCAAAAGTGGCAAATGCAATACACAAGTGTGCTGCAAAAATGTTTTGACAGATGCATATTAAGTTAAAGCACCAGTATTGTGCAGTGTTGGCATTAGAGGCTGTAAGTGGGTTATGCGAGCTGGTAGTCAGATGAAGTTGGGGTGTTACCCATGCAGAAAGGCGGTGTACAGATGCATAATAAAAAAAGTTTTAATACAATGTGCAGCCAGTGACTTATATATAGTGGTTGTTACTGGTTAATGCCTTGTTAGGTAATAAACACAGGTAAGTAGTCTGAATAATGACAACACCATGGAACTATAGGATACTTGAATGACTCTGTCATCTACTGTCTATTAATATGGGCGAAGTGTCTGTTTGTACCTGTGCCTTAACACCTTCTGGATGATCCTGAGAAGCCTGTTCTCTCTGCATCTTGCCTTACCACACATGACCGCAACAGCCTTCATTCAAATCACTTTTGTTTATGTTTGATTACATTTTTAGATTGTGGAAAACAAAGTCAATGATTTATTTTAATTTCCTAGAGTGACATGTCCCCCAGACAACATACTGGATTTTTTTGTCTGCAAATTGTGGTCTGGGGGTAAGACTGCCTCCTGCTGGTCCACCAATGCAACCTGGTGTTTTTTTAAACCCCCCACAGTGTTCCTGACCAGGTCCAGCCTTGCATAGCTTCTCAGCTCTGGCTCTAGGGTGAAAAAGCTTGAACCCACAGCTTTAGGTTCTATATCCCTGCTCTCTCACTCTGCCATCAGTTAGGTGTTTCTTTTTCATGCATACAATTTGTTCAACTAATAAAAAAAACACAAAGACAATTTATCAGTTAAGGAGCAGTTTATAGGTGGTGTGTATTTAAGTGCAGTTTTATGATCTGGGTTTATTTTCTGGGTTGGGAAGAGACAGTGTGACTGAGATTGCACAACTCTGATAAGCAAATATGCATGCCTGCAGCTGTAGGTGTGCCAGGCAATGGCAGCTTGTGTGGAGCACTGGGCTGGGCTCAGTGTGCACAGTGCCTGACCATCTCATGCCACACATGGAAAACCTCAATTCAGACTCTTAGAATCTGTGCATTGCTCAGTGCAACAAAGTCTTTTGATTAAATTGAGCTGTTTGTTTTACTAAATCCCACATTTAGAGAAATTGCATAGGAAAAACATTCATCAGAAAAATGCCTATTTCTTGTTTGTTTATATATCTAAACCAGGTGGGTAGCTGCGTCAGCGTGCGTAGGCTGCAAAGGAACAAGTAATAGGTTTATTCCATGCTGAAAAAAAGAAGAAAGAAAACGCAACGTTTCGGCCGTGGAGCCTTCTTCAGGTGTGAACACCTTTGTCATAGGGAGGCAAAACAAAAAGTAAGGTCTGTCTCTCCTTTGCAGTTGACCCCTGTATGTTTTAGTATTTACAGGGACAGCATTATCCAGACTGCCAGCCTGGCGGGAGTCACTGAATGAGACCCGCTGCAGGAAAAGCCCCTTTAAGCTGTGATAACGCAAGAGATAAGGAACATGGGACTACTCCACCACAACACCAGAGTTTCTCCATTGTCCAAGGCTGCAGCAAGGACACTGGGATTCCACTGTGAGTCTGGAGCATCCTTACGCCAACGCAACAGGAAAGGAGGCAGGTCTGGCACTAGATGAGCACATCCTGACACACCTCTGCTGGGGAGTTCAACATCGGACACCACTGGGTGGTGAAACCATAGATGAAACTAGTTGAGGAAACTAAATTGAAGCTTTAGGCTACAAGCTTTCTGCTTTTTGCAGATGAATGTCTTTACCTAAAACAAAAAAGATGTGATGTACCGAGATCCTTGCTCCAGGTTGCACAGGAGACACGCTGTCAGATCACACAAACCATTTATTTTGAGCTCTGTACATCAGGAGGTATTGGTGGATGTGTCAAATTCAACAGGAGAGTAAGTGTTGTTTTACTCCACTTTAGTTTGGCTTTAATGAAGCGTATATGTTGAATTAGTGTTACTACCATACTCGTCACCGTTAAGCCTGTCTGCCTGCGCTACACCCCGACACACTTTTGTATGAGCAACAAAGTGAACTGCACCTGAATGGCTTGCTATTTTTGACACAGCATTTATTTGTCACAAATGTTTCAGAACGGGAAACATCAGGAAACTGTCCTTTTGTACAGAGCTATACAGTACTGTCATGCTCCAGTCCTGGAGCAATCTGTGAAATTCAGAGCCCTGCCTACTTCCCAGCGCCAAGAGAGTTAAGCAATATAGCGAAGGAGGGAGCAGCAGTCTTGTACATCCAGCTGCAACCATATTTCAACATTTCCTGTCCCATTCTGGATCTCAGGCCCATGTTTCACTTTAACATGTGATTAAACTGGACACTCCCTATTTCCCTATTAGTCAAGAGAGAAGTAGCAAAGATCAAGTATCTTGATTCAAATTTTCATAGTTTTTAAATGGTAACTAGGTGTCAGTATATTTTTTATAATACTAAATCTGACACCATTTTAAACCCCAAATCACATAAGTTTTAAATAGGTACAAAAAAGGCAGTTTACTAAGTTTTGAGGTTTGTCACAGCATGCTGGCTATTTGATTTTACCATCTTCAGTACAGGACCAGAGAGGTGCACAGCAAGCAAGTACAAACAAATGTAAGTTAATTGCCAGCTTGTCTGCATGTTGAATGTGTAGCCTGGCTGTCCCTTCAGTTTAAACTGTTGCTCTACAGCAGTGTGTCCCATTCCCTGGCTGGGGAGACTGCTATATCTGCTGGATTTCGCTCCAGATGAGTTACAAATCTCCTTTACTTTCATCAAGACTTTTATCAGGCTCTTGCTTGTTTAGGCTTTTGCTTAACTTGTTTCTGCGCTCAGTCCTTAAAAAGGTACTATTTCCAGCAATGTCGGCATACAGAAATGTAGGCAGCCTCTCTTCAACTTGCCTACCTTTGTTTCTGACTAAACTCTGAATAAGTGATCTGTTTAAGATGAAAAGACACAGACGGGAATGGTAGTTTTTCAAACACCCACAATGAGCTTTTTTCCCTTTCTGTAGAGGTCTAGTTGGTTAGTTTCAGGCAACGCGCTTGATTGAGGGCAGTTCCGAAACTCTGCAATCGGTACAAAGTTGATACCGATTAAAAACTCAAAAGCTCAAAGTAAATTAAAAAATCTGCCCCAGACTGACTGAAATCAATTAATCTGTGATTAGCAACTTGGAGCAAAACCCAGAGGGGACAGTACTCCTACAACTGGTCACACTGATTAACTCTAATTCCCGTGAGCATGCTGCTCGAGTGCTTGTCTCTATACAATATACATGTGTATAGCATCACTGCAGGATCTGTGTACCCAACAGGAAAATCCCAGTACCTACGCCACTACACATTTTGTTCAGCAATTGTCCCCCAAACACAGAAAAACCTTTTATGAATCATGTGAAAATCATTTTTGGAGAAATGACTCAATTTTATGCCCACCCACTTTTCCTTTAGACTAAATCTGAAAAGTGGAGTGAGTGAGACGGGTGACTGTAATGTAAAAAGTGTTTAATTTTACAGCCTTCATGGCTTTAGACTTAACCCATGAAGTGCCAGGATGTGTACTTGCGAGAATGCCACAAAATTGGATGATTGAATATCCTACTATTAACAGCAGCATATCCAGATCTGTGGAAAAGACTGGATTCCACCTGGAATACTATGGCACATTTTTAAAAATGACACCACAGACCTGAAAGAGCTCATCAATAAATATCAATATTTCTTAAAGCAACCCAGTTGATTCCTTTGATGCTTTGTTGATAACACAGTGCAGGATAGCAGAGTACACAAGATATAACTGCAAAATGATAAAAGCTGCTGTATGGATAGAAGTGCATGTTTGCTTCAGAGAACGCCATGACAACCCAGGGCTATCCTGGAACACAGCGTGCCATGTGGGACTATACCCTGCAGAGTACTACGATTGCACCAGGGACAATTTAAACACACCAATTAACACATCCAGCAAAGCGCCCATAGAAAACCCATACAGCAGCTGAGACACCATATAAACTCCCCCCAGAATGTTCCCCAGGCCCAGTGAACTGTAAGCCAGAAACACTAACCACGATACCACCCTGTTTCCTTCCATATTTATTTTTGAATGTTATTTGTACAGAAGAGATTAAATAAAAAATATATTTAAATAGATTTTTTTTCAGTTCTCCTGATTATAAAAGATGGGAATAAGCCTACTTATTATCAAAGCAACCAAGTCTGTGCACTTCATGTTATTTAATTTTTCATTCTTGAAAGGCTGCTTTTTGGGTCCATTAAAATACAGAAATTGTAAAATGAGAAATAAATGCGTTATTCTCCCAGACAGGGAA